CGTATTTCATCTTCTTCGATTAATAAATAGAGCCGTAAAGAACGGAAGTTGCTTGTAAAACACATCTCTTAAAAAGTTCTGCAGTCTACTGTTTTTGCTTCTTACATGGTAATTTTATTCTATCCAATCATTCTGTGCTAAGGTTTGTTAAATGATGATAGTTGTGATGATATTAACAAAAAATGGAAGTATATCATTGCTATAAGAGAAAGCTGCAGAGTCAACCGTAGAAGCCCTCTATACAGGCCTCTCCCACCCCCACACCCCCCAAAAACTACATTGCGAGTAAAGATTTCGAATTTTTATTAGCACCAATGAATTCAGCACCATCGAAAACCCTATAGTAAGACCAACTTTTCCTGTCATAACCATTGGTTTTCGAAATTGGCTTCAGACAATCACTGCCAAAAGTCTTGGAACACTAACGTAGGTTTTCAAAGGCAAATTCAGCCATCCCCCTCTCCCCCTAGGAACAATGTTGATTTACTTTAGAAAAAAGAGAGGGGTTATGGAGTACGCTTTTTCTTGTGGATTGTTTGATATTTTTCTATACCTTCAACATTGTTTTGGGGGGAAAGGGGGGCGGAAGTGGTAGTATTCAAGAAAACAAATGAAAAATAGAAAAGCACAGCCCAAAGTGTTAGGTGTTCCAAGTAATTTTGGCAGTGATTGTAGATAGGTTTGATACCTTTAAAATGTATCATCGATCAGAAAAATGACGAACATGAAAAGATGATCTAAGGGTTGTATTACATACCGTCCTCTTGGGATCTCATTATCGGGATAAAAGATGATTTATTTGACAGCATAAATTGATTTGGCATCGATATTAGAATGGGACTGGAAATTGTTTGACATGATTCCGCTCGTCTTGAAAGCTTCGGACTACAACGGAAAGAGACATATGAGAACAAACGAGCTCAATCTAACAGTTTCCACATACACCAGTAAACAATGTTTTCGATGAGGACGTCAGTAATTCAAACGTTTTCAAACAACTTCAAACAACTCTGAAAGCAGCTACCATGCCTTGGAGCACCCAACAATTTGCATTTGGCTTCTCTATTTTTTATTGCTTTCCCAACATACTATTACTCTTCCCCCAGAACAATGTCGATAGTTTAGAAAAAAACGTACACGCCCCAAGAAAAAGCGTACTCCATAACAACTTTCTTTTCTCTATAGACAATAAACATTGTTCCTAGGGGAGGAAGATGGCTGAATTTGCCTTTGAAAACGGACATAAGTGTTCCAAGAATATTTGCAGGGATTGTAAGCTAAAATTTTCTGCATGTAGAAGTTAGACTGTCGAGGTATCAGGCACTGTTGCTGTTCTAGTTTTTTTCATATCTATGATAAAGTAAATTTAATCTAAAAATGAAACAAAATGGAGTCTGTCTTTCTTGCTTTTGTAGAGTAAGCAGAACAGATAAGTACTGCATAGTAACGCAGACAACCAGACACATTTCCAATTTCAACTTGTCATACGAGGCAATCAAATTTCTTACGGAATGCTTAAAGACACACGGCAGATGTAAAAGAACCAGGAGTCTGGGCAGGCTAAAATAGACAACCAATGGAGACTGGTTGTGAGATTTTTCTTGTGTGACCTTTTTTCATACTTTGTTTTGGCTTGCCTTTGAAGTCATCGAGTGACTTTCATCAATCTAATACCGCTCTTTTGTGAGCAGTTATTGGTCCGACAAGGTAAAGATAGATACGAAACTAATGATTTTACCTCCTACGGCTGGGAGTATGCCCAAATGTCCTTTGGACACCAATACGTCTTTTTAGCGACCTCATTCCAGGCTTAGGATACGGACTATTGATGCAAAATTCTGTCAACAGAATAATAATTCAATTACAGCAGGGCAAGAGCAATGCTTAGAAGGTCTTTTAGGCCATTAAGTTTAAAACATTTTTAAATTTTATGTACCCAATTAGTTAGCAACATGAATTGCAGCTATAAATAATTCGCCTGAGTTTAGTCAGAACAACTCCAAATAAAAATAGATCAGCAACTTAAGAAGCAGAAAAGTTCAAAACTTATCAAATATTTTCTTACAAAGCAATTCAAAGTTCAGCATCATTTAATAAAAATAATAGAGTAACTGAATGAGACGAAGTAACTCGACTTGCCACTTGACCGAATATCCAGCTCACTGCGTCCTCTTTTGCGCAGCAAGTCCTCGACTTCAATAGTCTTGTCACTTTTTGTGCGTCGGTGTCTTGCGCGTCGTGTTGCCATTATATCATCTTCATTTCCGGGGGCACAGCCAGCTCCAGTGTTAGCTCCTTTTATTTTGCGACCAATGCCATTAACAAACCCTGTAAAAAACGTTGTTTTTTGAATGAAGGTATATCAGACTAAAATGCAAATGAAAACTGAAAGGCCTAACAGATGTTGAGAACATCCAATTTTCGTGTGAGTCTCCATTTGTCTTATAAATGCAACAGGGCATCTTATCCAATTATCTGGTTATAATCGCTTTCTGATTCTTTGCACCTGGAGAAGATTAAGAATATGCAGGCAGAGATGGTGGATGATTGGAATTTTAAGCCAAATTTTTTCGCATTCTGAAAAGCTATTAAACTTTTTTCAGTTTGGGATTTCATCATAAGCGAGAGAAAAGTTTACTTCAACAAGGTAAGAAAAGCATTTATATTTCACAAAGAAAAACTGCTTTGGTTGATAGTTACAAATTACAAAGTTTTGATGGGGATCGACTATTCTTAAACTTCACTTCTGTCCTCAAGTAGCTACACAATAGCAATACGATTAGAACAAAGATTTTCCCTCAGAAGGCTAGGTAAAAACATACACCCAACCTTTCTGGTCTGGCCGGCATTCGGTACTTTCAATGGCCCGGATACATTGATGGTTTTTCTGCGCTTTGTCGACGTGATAATCTTTAATAGTCGGCATGCCAAAAGCGAAAAAATTGATAAAAATGGCGATGCGAAACGTTTTCTTCTGTTTTCTTGTGTCTCCTTGATTAGTAAACACCTAACACTACTGTATAGCCCCTGAGTTTTGAAAGTATTTTCTATTAATTACGGTTAACGAGAAAGGCATGAAATCGACGTTGTCTTCACCAGATTAAAAAGAATTGTTCATCTACGTAGATATGTGCGTATGTGCCTTTGGAGGTTCAAAAGATAGGAAATATAGATGATTGGTGAAAAGGTGTTAGTTGTACCTGATATAGAGCGGCTTCTTCTTCGATGCCCTCTCTGTTTTGTGTGCGCAGCCAAATCTAGCTCATCAGCTGAAGATGTGCTCATGGACTGTGGCTCTCCTTCAATCGAATTTACCTTCTCGATAATTTCATCAGAAACAAGGCCAATTGAGTTAGCATTCCTGAACAAAATATCAACCACTTCCGTTTGTTCCTTTATATATTTATCGCTGTCTTTGTCCTTGTTCGAAAACATCAAATTTGGTGAAAGCACAATAGCTAAATTACTTAGGGTCATTTTTGACTCTTTCGAATGAGCGGCCACTTTCGAAACAAATTGGCACAAGTATTGAAGCAGCCGGAGATTAGTGTCTGGCAGCAAAAGACACAGCATTAGTAATGAGGTTACTTGCTCGTTTGGTGTGTTGAGTTGTAAACATTTGAGAAACGTATTGTGTAGTAAGGAAGTGAGTACCGAGTCAGGCAGTTCTCGTAAGAACTGTTTCATCATGCTGGCAATGTCATGTGGTTGTGCGATTTCTGCATGGCTAGAGCCTCCACTTTCAACTTGTTGCTAGAAAAAAAGGCCCAGTTAAACAGTTATTCAACTCTGCTGAAATGAATCTATTAACAATGGCCTTAATAAGACATTCTAGCTGAAGACAATAGATTTATAATGTGCCATATCAGGCAGAGGATATTGGCTCTTAAATCAAACAGTCACTTAGTTCATGGCTTTTATTATCTAAAATCGAGTTCGACCATTGCGTTTCTTATTCTATAAATTGTTCATCTCAACATTTCGTCACAAAATGTTGTTTGCTTTTCTGAAAACCTTGCAATATGTAAACGGTTTTGAGTATGATACTGTAGTTTTGCTTTTAAGAATATTTCTACCTACCTGACTAATAAAGATTACCGGCTTCAGAAATGTAATTTCAATTCTAGCTGTGCTGATTCTTGTAAAAGTCCTTTATTAACAGCAACTCTGAGCTTCAGGTTTCTTTATCAATTTATGTCTTTAAAAATTTATGCATTTATGGAGATAAAAAACCCACTGTAATGATTATAAGAAACATCATTGTAGATGAAAAAACCCTCTAAATTTGTTTATCTTTTTATAAGTTATCAAAACTCAACCATAACATTAGTTGTTTTAAAAATAACTTTTAGACAAGATTTTCATATTTTTTGTCCATCCGACATTACTTTTAGCAATTGTTAATGAATTTGACATGGCACGTTGTTGCTTGGGCTTGTCGGCAACTTTGGATTTGTCGGCAACTTTGGGTTTGTCGGCAAATTAAGTCTAGATTATAAATTTATCATATTTTGTTTTAATGAGTAAACTTTAAAGATATATGAATAAGGGTAAACAAATTCCAATATTATATTTCCAATTACTACCTGAGAAATTGTCTGTGTATTCTCAAATAGCTCAAGATTTCACTGGAAGAAATTTGGCAACGTTGTTTTTCTGCCAACAGTCACATCTCAGGAGCACCGTTATTGTCCGCCAATCTGGGGATCTAAATCCCCCCTCCCATTAGCGGCGCCACGGGAGGACTGGGGGGTTCTCGGCGAGATAAATTTTGAATTCCGCCTGAATTCGATGGGAAATTGTTGGGGGAGGGGTAATATTTTGGCAACGTCCTATTTGTGATGTAATCCTATGATTTTTAAACTGCCTTTACATAACCAAAAGTTAGTCATGGGCGTTCCCTTCAGGTAAAATTGGCGTTCCTTGTTTGCACAGTTTTCGGTACAACTGCGCCACCCATTAGAATGTCAATATCACGCTAAAATACAATGACAACTCACTCGAATAGTTTTTTGCCTTGCCAGTGAGCCAGATTTCCTGAATAATCCCTCAGTCTTCAAGTGTGGCTCTAAAAAGCTCACAGCTTCAACCAGGAACCTGAATGAAATAATTTTGAGATCTAGAAACCTAAAGTGAGCATTTTGAATTTCTAGTACAAAATACAACGGATTGTATTATGAGCCTTGTATCAGCACAAGAAACCTAGGATAGGTTTAAGAAAGGCAATAAACTTTAAACTACATTAGCAATATATTTCTTATCTTCGCTTTTGCACCCAATCATCTGATCTGTTTGCAGCCTAGCAAGCATTCTGGGCGAAGGAAGCATGATTTGCCAGTATTTTTTAGAAACTGGTCGAAGCAACGATTGGCTCAGAAAATGGACAAAACGTAGACTAATTTAAACTAGTAGTTGCCTCAAAAAATATAAACGAGCAATACTTCATTCCCATTTCCAAAAAACTTTTACGATCAATGTTACTTGTCCAAATCCAAGGATCAGTGATAATGATTGGCTCTAGTGGTGCTTGAGTTTTAATCACCGGAGTGTTACCAAAAAACAAATTTAAACCTTTACTATGTACAAACAAAATTTAGTAGCAAGAAAGCAACCCTAATAGGTCTTGCGGTCTTAGGCGAACATTTCTAGTAATTACTATTTATGCGAGTATCCTTTTGGGTAACCAGATGCAAGTTGAACTTCTATCTGTATAGATTATGTTGAAAAGGTGTGCTCACAACATATACCAAAATAGATCGTTTATTGGGAATCTGAAACAGACTCGATTATTGTCAGTTAAATTGAACCCATAATATTTTTATAAATTGTTGTGATATATTGAAAATTGCATTTGCCATCGAAAAATAAACTTCAGAGAAAATCATTGGTTATAATCTCAAAGCAGGTGAAACGGTTGCCAAGATGTTTAAAAAAAGAAATCTAAATTCAGCTTGAAATTATCCGATAATTCTCAAAAAGTGATACATACATCTTATGCGAAAATACTTAAATCAATAAGATGCAATTTTGTTGGCACACCTGACCTATTTCTAAGAAGCAAGTCTTTTTAAGCATCCACGGAAACATCATTTTGAGCTGCTTAATTAATTGTTAATCTATTTTAGCAAAAAGATTCTGAATTCCATAAAAGCCACACAAATAAGCTTTGTTACCAGACAAAGAGGCCTTAAATAAGAAGATATTATCATTGTCCAAAACAGGCAGATAGTATTATTGCAAGAGTAAAGACAATCTAAAGCATTACTATTCTTCTTTGGGATGTATTTATATATACAATTGTTCAGAAAAAAACCAGCCTGACTTACAAATGCATTTAGAAAAATTCATCAAATCCCTTTCAAAGTCGTAATCTAAGGAGTAATGATGTAACTTAAAAAGAAAACATCAATTACTTAGCTTGTGGCATTTATAAAGAACAGCACACCCAAACGCATTGGATTAAAGGGTTATTTTATTTTTGTGGTTAAGAACCATGATTGTAATTTATTTTCTTAGATAGCTGGGAATCTTCAGAAAAATCTTGTAAATAAATAAGATTTGATATAACCTACTTTTTGATAACTGAAAATTCAGAAAAATTTGAAGCTTTTGAAACAATGTGACCGTCAATTTACAGTCTTCAAAGATAGGTTTTTTCAATAAGCATTGCATAATAGGAATCTTATCTTGAAACTGAAAAAGAGGTTGGGTCTATTGCTAATTTGGTTGTTGTAACATAGGGTCTTGTATTGATACAGCTGACAGGCATATGATATAAGCAATGATGCTATTTGCTGAGTTCAAGGGTTCTAGGTTAACAAGAATGAAGAGTGCTATACTGAATAGAATGAAAGTCTGTGTTGATTCAGAGATGTTTAGGACTACCTCTAAAATGACAATGTAACTGGACAAAGAACTTTCAGTACAGTACCACTTATAGCATCTCCAACTTTGAACATTGTAGCTCCTGACACTAGTTTGAGTCGAACCAATCAAAAGCATTAGAAAAAGGTTGTCTAACTACCAGCTGGCTTTGTAAATGCTAGATACATGACTGAATGCTTCCAATCAGCAAACAGTACCACTGCTTTAAGATAAATTTGTTAGGTTGTGCTTGTTATTACTATCCTTATTTAATATAGCCAGATCAAAAGTATTTAAAACTTATCAATGACTGTGACCAGAGAGACATTCAAAAGGAGATTAACTTGGATATAGCATTACAAGAAAAGAAAAAGTTCCCTTAAGATTAACAACTTAGAAAGGAAGGAAAATTTTATCAAGTGGAAGAAAAACTAATGGAACTTTCCTAGGTTTTCTAAATTGTTTTTTTGCAAATGATGGAAACTTTTCATTTTCAATTTAATTAAAATTACAATTTACAAATTTCACTATCACAAAGGTAATTTGCAATTGGCTAGCCTGGGATCACAAAGTAAAAAACTATTACAAGCATAAACAAAATAAATTAGGAAAAAAGGAAAAAGTGTGTTTATTCTTTGTTTGTTTGGAGGTTGTCAGTAGGAGAAATTGTTAGAATTGAAGAAGTTCAGGATTATTCCAAGAATTGTTTCTGTTGCAGAAGATGTAATAGGTAGTGCGGATAGTTAATTTGGATAGTTTAGAGATAACGAAGCAGAGATGATTCTCTCTGATATCTAGAGCATTGAACATGTCAATGAAAGAGGAGCAGTAGAGACCAAAGATATCCAGGGAACTGATAGAAAGGTTAACAAACATGATAGAAGAATAATCTGAGCTTAGGCTGTGAATGACAAGCCAGTATCTCTCTCTTTTGCGATTAGCGTTTTATTAAATTTATTAATTTTTTATCCTACTGCAAGCTCAAGTATGAATAGGCGGTTGTAGAGGGTTTCCTGTTATGATAGAGGGTGAGAAATAGCCTGAAAGGTGTACACAAAGAGAGCAATAAGGTACAGCTTTGAAAGTCTGTGCTAGAAAGTTTAATGCAGCGTTATAGCCAAGAATAGTATGGTCTTATTTTAGGTATGTTTTGCAGCCTGCCACAATGTGAAGTGATGTTTCTGGCATATAGCAAAAAGAGCAATCAGATGACTGAGAGATATTCCATTTAGATAAGTTTTTTGCATGACAAAGGAGTTGCTCAGGTATTTGATATAAAACACTAAATGTTCTTGGTAAATATTTTAAACAGCATATGGCTTGGGAACAGCATATTTTAAACAGCATATGCTAACATAACATTGTTTATTTATAAGTACTTAGCCTTGCACATACTTTGGAATTGGACAGTAGCAGTCATCCCCAATATTGGTGGATGGGACATTCTCTAAAGCAACACCAAAGACCTTGCTTTTTGATGGGTTTTCCTCTACCTGTAATTTGATGAAAAATATATCATTCATAGCTAAAAATTATAAAATCATTACATTTTCTGGGGACATGTATAAAATGCTATTGGTGGGGGACTGATAGTATAAAATCTTCAGGGGTGCCCCTGGAAGGTGCAAGGAGTCAGGTGTCTAGTAGTATTATTATACCAATCAAAGAATCAATCAAACATATGCTTTTCTTTCTCTCACTTTATTTTCATCTGCATCTGGATATAGCTTTTTTGCTTACCTTTGGATGTTATACTTTGTTTAATTTTCAAATTTTGTAGTATCATTCTATTAGAAACTTGATATGCTTTGTTTTATAAAATTCAGTTAATGCTTCTGTTAATTTCTATGAGTTTCAATTTCAAAGGGGTTGGAGAATAAAATCTATTTTTGTATACTTCTGTCACCAAATTTGAAGCAAGTATATCAAGCAAAAAACCCTCGAGGTTTTGCTCTGTCAGACTTCTGCTACTTTTTGGATTTTACTGCCAGTATTTACATGAACTTTAAACAATTTCAAAGCAAATACCCAAGCACTTAGTTGGAGATTTTTTACGAAACTTTCTCTTGATGTGATAAAAAAGGTCACGAATATTTCATAACCTCATTCATGACATCATAATTAAGTCACTCAAAAGAAACAGTGAGTATTCAAATTTCCAGAACATTAAGAAAATGGAGTACTCAACATCTACCTTTGTTTCTTACAAAAAAATGAGTGTAATACCACGCCTCATTGTAAACAAGCCAAAATCAACAAATTGCAATATACAATACCCTGGATGACTTCTCTTTCGGTACTTTTATTCCGAAATCATCTTTTACCATTTTTTTGACCACATGACGAACTGTCTCTCTACAATCTAAAGTAAATATATTTCTCATTTCTTTGCGAAAATGGCGGTAGGCCCTTTTCTCTTGACATCGATCGTCATGTGACACCTTAATAACTGCGAACTGTTTACCCGGCGCCGATCAAACAGCTACCAAATATTAAAATTCAAGTCCATCACTCCATCACCACTTTGTCTTACTATCTTGTTCATATATCAACTACTCTCCTTTAAAAAATCGACTTGTAAATCAAAGACTGGGTCAAATTACGAACAGTTGAAGCCAGAACTCAAAAACGAACTTCGCTCCAAAACTCATGCTTTGCTGTAATTGGCCAGAATACAATAGCAATTGTAGTTCGAAAACATAATACAGGACACAGGGTGACAGGTGACAATTGAAAGTCGAAAACTTTCGAATTAACCCCCGGAGGCTTATTAATTTAGATACTTATAGAAAGGGGCTATTTCAAGGGGGGTTGCTTATTCGTTTTCATTTCCTTAACGTTAAAAAATTAAAGCAAATGAGAAGAGAACAAAGAGGTAAGTCTTTAGGGTCCGGAGCGATGAATGATCCATAAGAAGTAAAGGAAACTTTGGCTACTCCTTAAGCCCCACCGAGGGGCAAATCACTCCAAAAAAATCTCGCACACCTTTTGTGAAAATCCTATTGTTTTATCTAAAAATCCTCGGAAATCCTTTTGTTTTAGGGAAAATCCCATACGCTATTTGCAAGAGTGAATTGCCACTTGAGCCCCACCTCTTCTTCTCTATGGTCAGGGACCGGGGAAGCATGGGGAGGGGGCGCTTTAGCTGCTTCGCAATCCTTGCTTTGGCTCTACAAATTCACTTTTTCAAAATACTTAGATTAGATCTTTAAAGCTCTTGGTTTTAAGCCTGTGCTCCAGGCCCCTAAAGTAAGTTTTCCAGTAAGGGGTCTGTCTGGAACACAGGCTATTTGATTTGAACATGCTTCCCTAACCCCAGAAAACAAAATTTTAGCCCCCTTCCAATCCGTAATATTCTTCGCAGTCCCTGTTTATGGTTGACAGAAAGTGATTTTACCTTTAATGTTTCGTTTAAATGTTAATTATCTAATGTCAATAGCTTTATGGAATATAAAATTTAAAGGGCATCACGACCACAGTAAATTTTCGCCAGGAAGCACTATCTGGGTGAGCAAAGCTGAAAAGAATATCATGGTAAAAACAAATAGATTAAACTAATATAATTTGCAAATTAAAATACCTCTCAATATGCAAAATCAGTTGGATATGCTTAAAATTGGGCAAAATATTGGTGAGGAAGTTCAGACTCCAGAGAAATTGTCAACATTCCTCCGGCCAAGAAAATCTTACTACAAAATCTTCCTCATTTTGAAACGATTTAAAGTAAGCATAGACAGGAGATACTAAACTAGTCTACATCGCCTCTCCTTGTTTTTCCAAAGCATTAAAAAATTGGTAGCTTGTTTTCAATCATAGATATATTTTACGACTGATGAAAAGTTACGTGCCATATCAATTGACAACACAAGTGTGCCATGATCTAAATTTACAAATTTTAGAAAAAGAAGGCCTAAATTTTGGTGCAAAGCAGCTCTGCGAACACATTTATATCAAAAAGGCAGGAGGTTCATAAATATTGTTTGATTTTTTTAACTTTTGTCTTAACCTTTTGTTGAAAAACGGCGATATTTTTAACTTCCTCAATTTTCAAATTTTTGGACACCTTCTTCATTTTTTATTTATCTTATTTCTACGATCTTCCTCCGGCCAGTAACCGTGGGGCCATGATGTTTTCCTGACTCTGTGGAAGGTTTAGAGTTTGCTAATGAAGTACTGTTATTCTGGTCTGGTTCATAAAGTTATGAACCAAGACCAAATATCAGAGATTTGATGGGCAAGAGCCTGTGCTCATGTGGCCATATCTCAGCCAATTCGTAGTGCCTTAAATTGAATTTGTAAATTTCATGATGCTCTTTCAGGTTCTGGGATCAAAATAAAAAAATCGATAAAATAGATTATTCTGACGTCATCACTTTGGTACTCTATTTTGAGGGGATAAATAGGGTGCATTACCATGAAATGAACAAGGGGACGGTGCCCTCGCGAAAGGTTTCACTTAAAACAAAGCGGAAAGCCGAAAATGCTTGTTTTGATAATTTTAAACAACATAAATGCATGTAATTTACCTTTTTGATACCATAAAGTTGACAAATTCATAAGTGTCTTGACCATGATGATCGAATGAGGGTGAAAAGTTCACCTGAAACATTTTTGCGGTACAATCCATTACACGTTTTCAAACAAAAAATCATCATAAAATCTGCAATTCAACTACTAACAGTATGAAAAATTTACAGGGGATAAAGGTATGGTGATTAATCTTGATATAAGCTCAAAAGTATTACAAGAGATTTACCGCACAGTCATTTCGGGTCAACTCTCCACCCACAGTCGGTAAACACAGTCAAATCCGTAATAGTTTTCCTAACTTGTGCGTTCGCTAAAATCCCGGATTTCAACCCAATTCTGATGTAAAAATTTAATGCAAAGAAAATGAAAGCGTTTTTCCGAATGAAGCAGAATCTGGATTGGCGTTTGTACCTAAATCTGTGGATTGCACTCCGACTTTGGTATCGTGATATCACGAAAAAGATGTGAAAATCGTGTGAAAAACCATGAATAAACTAGATAAATCATATGGTTTTATCGGTCCCGGCATCACTGCTTTTGAGATAGTCATATTCCCAACAGTACTCTGGGTAATTTTAAAGTTAAAAGGTTTTGTTAAAGAGATGCTGCTCTGCCAAAATTTGTGCCAAAAAAGTTGCTTTAAAAAGTGGCGAGACTAAACTTTGTCCAGAGGAAAATTTCAGACCAAACAGGGAGAGAAGAGCTGAAAGAGTTAGAACAGGGGTAACCAAGTATTGTGTTTGCCAAGATAGAGTTTACTATTTTGTATACTATTTTGTGAAAGAATATAGTCTATAAGAATATTAATGCTGAAATTTGCTTTAAGAATAATTTAAGGATAATACAAGGCTCAAGCTTCATCAAGAATTTAATGTGTCTCATTTACACTTTTTGTCATTTGAGAATAATTTAAGAATAATCTTAGGCCAAAAAAACAAAATATTGAGGCTCAGCATAAAATTAGGTATTCTTATAAAAATTATGTACTGTCGAAGTCTTAAGATACAGGTTGTCCCTGTGATGTAAATGAGCTTGGCCAGCAAGTACGAGAGTTTGGGAGAAGAAAGGATTATAATCAACAGCGCAGGTGAAAATCTAAAAGATGATTACGCTGATAAGAACCTGTCTTTATGCATTTCAGTCATGTCTCGGATATATGAAAAGGTTGATCAGAGGATGCTTATAGCTGATAATTAATGCGGATAAATTACAAAATAGAGATACCTTGTCGATGCTAAGTGTTTTACAGAAAAAAGTGATCCCAAAATAATTTAGAAAATTATTCCCACATCAATCGATTAAAAAGAATCTGTGAAAAAAGATTGGAAAAGGAGTTGACTAGGCATTCTTGACCCCTAAAACTCCATTAGAACCGTTGTAGGTCTGAGCCAGGTACAACGTTCTAACTGCGAGGTTACCTACTGGAGGGAAGGCATTAGAAAAGATTAAAGAATAGCTTTTTTTCCTCAAAGTGTCATTCCTGCAACTCCGTTTTTCGGTGTCTCTTATGGAAATCCTGTTTAAAACAAAATATGGAAACAGCATTGAGCATGCTTCAAAGCATGAATTCTCACACCAATCGTTTTAAGATGACATGACAATGCCGGGAATAAATAGAAATAAGCAATCAGTCTCATTATGTTGTTGTTGCTTACTTCCGGGAATTTATATGATAGTTACATAGCAATTTGCTTTATGGAAAATTTCTTGGAAAGCCCTTTGTTGAATTTTTACGAGTCATCTGTTTGTTTATCTTGTGATGCCAAAATTTAAGTTACGAAACAACACCACAAATCGATAATTTTGTAGTCAACATACGTTAATTATAGGCTGGGTACAAACGACCGCCCACCATATATAGGGAAGGTTTACTTTCTTTTTTTATAAGAAAAATTTTATAAGAACACGAGCCTCAAACTTGGTCAAAAGATAAAAACAGATTAAAAACAAGCTGAAGAACTACTGTAAAATGCAATTTTTCAACAACATTTTTTCTCAAAAACAAGGATTTTAGCCATGCGTGGGTGCTCTTTTGGAAAATATTTAAACTTATCGGCAAATGAAGGTTGTGTGACTCACTTTGTTGGCAAACGAGGCCTGAACACCTCCCTGAAGCGAAAAAGCTAGCAATCACACTGCTAACACCCTATTCATTTAAGACCAAATTAAGAACAATCTAGCCTCAGATTTTCGAAAAAATTAAGAATTGTCTTAGTCAGACTGAACTTAAATTTACTGGTTCTTTTAAAAAAGATTGTAGTCTGAATAATTATGTCATAGTCGGAGAATGGAAAGAAATGTTGTTTCTGTCAATTAAAAATATCAGCATGGAAGAAAAAATCAATTAAGATTAGGTGTATAAAAGAAAAGATATAGCAGTCGGCGCAACCTTGGTATGAATACTGCATGGTAGTTTTATACAGAGCCAGGAAAACATTACGGTCGCACGGTCACTGACCGGAGGAAGGTCCACGAAAAACAATAAAAGCTCCAATGATACACCCAAACCGTACCCACTTTCTATTGTTTTGTGAGGAAGGTTTGCCTTCTGGGATGTTTTTGTCTGGAGGAAGGTTAACAACTTTTCTGGACTCTGGTTTCATACCTCTCATTTGAGTGTTATTTTTATGCTGCTCGGTTTAGTATGGAAAGCCTATGTAGGAAGATTGTAATTTATCTCTATCCAAGAGATATTCAAAGCATTGAAATTTTTGAATGAACTTGCTTCTTATAATTCGGAAGAAATTTAGGGAAAAGGCAATTCCCTAAAAACCCCTTACCCTGGGTACCCTATTCAGTTTATCAAAATCAAGAGAGAGTCAATCATAAGATGAGTAAATATCATATTCTGGTATGTTTTCTCTATTGCTGCATCGTAGATTAATAATTTTTGCGAAAAGAAGTAAGGTATCTAAATTCTGTGCGCTAACCCCCATAGACCAGCTCCATAGGTGCAGGAGAAATGTTGCGAGGGCTGTACCTACAATGCCTGCATAAAATCTTGGAACACCAAGATACTTGCGTCGTATCATTTTATTTTTCATTCTTTTTCTGAATACTACAACTTCCGTCCCTTCCGTCCCAGAACAAGGTTAAAAGTTTACGTGAAATAATCATACGCAGGCTAATACCGTGCCCCTAGACACATTAATGTGGTCTACCTATGGTTGTATGTCATTTCCGGTATCCACCTGAACAGTTAGTTGTTTTGTTAGATCTCCACGCGGAACTGCCGATGTAATTACAAACTTCTCAACATTCCCAGCACAATTGATAATGGGAAGTGTACAAGTGCTACAATGTCTGAGAACTTCACAGACAAAGACTGAGCAAGGTATATTCAATGTTTGCTACTTAATTACTTGGAATATGTGGACGTGAGAATGTGTGCACTGATTAGCCGATCAAACACAACAAAGGACAATGGATGTTTGCTTCTTTCAAGTAAACTTTAGCCCATACTTGTATATTTTTTCGTTCAGCTACAAACTACGTTAGATTCTAAGACGGGAAAAGAACTGTTCTCTTATTAATTTCAATAAAACGGGGTGTTTTAGAATATTGTGAGACATCAACTCAATATGACAGAGGCTTCATATATGTAATCGGATAATCTCGTTTTGTTGTTTATGTACGTCCGGAAAACAAGGACTGAAAATGTTGTACTGTTCAGGATAATTTCATTTCAAAAACTACTTGTAAAAGTTCCACTTTCACTGACTTGAAGACTTGCTTCAAGTCAATCAGTGTTCAGCTCGCCTTATTTTTAGAAAATTGATGCTATCATGAAGAATCTTTTGTTTGACTGGATATACTGAGGCAAAGATAAACCGAATTGTAAAGAATACAATGATTTCTCTTCAGAAGTGAAGATTACCTGAAAAACACCAGGGTGCAACAGGTACATGTGTGTAAGCTGCACTGAGAAAGGTTTTAGTTTTGACAGTACATTGACAGGTAACATCAGAGCGAGAACTTTGATTTGTTCACTCCTTACATTAATGTAAATTGGCATTAGATTTTGATATCAGTGTGATTAAGTAAGTTTTCACCTCTTAGTATTTAACTGAAAAATTCCAGTTTGTATCAACAATATTCCGTTGAGTATCTTCGATCTTGCAAACTCTCTTTTCTGCAATGGTTTGGTTTAGATCAACGCATTTGGACGCTATTCAAATTGTTGTTTGCAGACATCAATTGAAATTTAAAGAGTTTTTGGAAAAAAACATCTAATTTTTTAGTGGTACTGGAATTTTCTATAAATCCATGCTAAAGCAACTTTTGATCTAAACAGAATGAAAAAATTAAAATTTACATCATCTGTTCCTAATAAGCTTCTAAGTTGGAAAAATTGCCTTCTTTCTAACAGTTTTAAATATCTTGATAAACTGCATTGATGCTTAACCAAATATTTTTAGCAAAATAGTTAAACTAGAATGTTTTGCCCCATTTTCGGGGAAATTAATATATATTAAAATATACACTTGTGGCACCTCTTTTTGGCAACGTATTGCCCTTAAACCTCATTGACAGGAAGTTGGTTTATGTTCGATGACAACGAAAATCCACCAATAGACATCTTGTGGGCTAGATTCATTGAAGACTTTGGTTTGAGGTTTCAAAATAGGTACAATGTTATTACATATTCAGACAAAGAAGTTGCAGCTGAACCATTTTGTAATGTTTGCATTGCATTCTGAATTTCTGATAAACACTTTTTGGTTTTAAGAACCTTTCTTGCCATATTGTACAACTCAAAGCAATCCAGTGACAGGCATAGCGAAGAAGATGCCTCTGGTAATAAGGTTTACATAAAGATCAGTCTTGGTCATTTTCAACTTATGAATTTGTTTTTTTGCAGCAAATTAGCTGGAATGTTAAAGCATAAAGCTACCTTTCTGTGTTCTGGATGGTTTAAGAACAGTTAACTAAAACAGTGATGAGCAAGTAATGGGAGCAACAGATGACACAGAGATCAATGATGTGGATTTTGAAAAGTCCCCAGAAGCAGGATTCATTATCAGAGCTGCTACTTTCCCATACTTGATGAGAAGAACGCTACATGATTTTGGCAAGTAGCTATTTTAACTGAGTAGAGCATTATTTTAGCAATTTTTTTAATAGAACATTTATCATCTCCTAGAAAATCCTTTTTGAGTATGTTTCACTTTCACTAAATAGTGATTTGACATTTTGTTAAGGTGTAAAATTTTGCATAACAGATGTCTTTCTTTTTTAGATGCTTTAGGACCAGTTGTGGAGCCATGCAAATTTTCTTCAGTATTTTTTCTAACATATCAATGGTTTCTGGAGCCAGGGGAGCTTCTTTCTCTTTTTTCAGACCGGTAAGTTAAATCAATTTTCATTAAAAGGTTTTTTGTACCATATTTCTTCAATTAAACACCACCCTCCCCCCATCAAATAGATGCCCCCTGAAGAAGCCAAAGTTTCAAATAAGCACCCCCTCAAATAAGTGCCCCTTTGAATAGATGCCTCTTGAAGAAGCAAAAGTTTTAAATAAATGCCCTGGGCATGCCAGTTTTCATTTTGTGTTGTTGCTTGATAGAGGCAAGGCACAACCAAAAATTTGTCTCTTTTTTGGACCCAATAATGGTTGCTGTGATCTCATTTGTCTCTACATTGTTCAAGAAAGATTTGAGCATGAATGACAATTTCATGGGCAATGAGCATGTGCCCTACAAGGGTAAAGGTATCAGTACAATTATCTGAATTAGACTTGTCACTGTCTCCTTTGAAGATACATGTAGGTTTCCATTTTTAGAAAAAGTTTCTTTTTTGATGTTCTTGAAGTTTGCAATCAACTGCCCCATTAGAATAGGCACCCCTGTCAAATAGGCGCCCCCCCCCAAAAAAAAAGCCAAAATTGATAATAGCCTTGGGTCATTTAATTAGTGAAATAAGGTATGTGTATATGTATACATATGTACTTATATGTTATCCTAATTTTTATATGGTTGTCTAATTTGTTTTTAGTAATTTTCATAATATATATTTATATTTAAATAGATCAGTTACCTATTGAAGACTTTGGTTGTAACATTTAAGAGATAGTGTATTTTTAATCTCCTATATCATTCTTTTTACACTCAGTGCATGAGCTACTTAATATATATGTACATATATTTTGTACCAGCCAGTTGCTTATTTTCCTGTCATGCCAATCTCATGCACTGAGTGTAAAAGCTGTCATATGATAGCCAGGGCTGGGTCTTCCAGTGTTCCATCCCCAAATGATTTTTTTTCTTATTAAATATTTATATATTTCTTTTTTTCTGGCTACCCAGGATTTGGAAATTTTACTACATGATTAAAGAGGCCACAAGGCAGACAACTAGGTCACCAGTTTGTGTAAAATGGCAAAGCACTGATATAGGGAGGCTGATATCAGTCATTATCAAAGCCATTGGCATCAAATTGTTTATTTTCTTGTTGCATGCACAAAGAAAGTTTAAGAGGAATAACATGCACAAAGAAAGTTTAAGTGCTCAAAGGACATATGAACTTCTTTTACCCAGTCTATGAAAATATATACTCATTTTAGCCTGTTCCTTTATTTTTTACAGATACAAGATGTTATATTTATCAGATAAAGAAAAGGAACGAGCCAAAAAGCTCCAGATATGTCAAACAGTAAGGTAACACATGATTTCTTTGTGAAATTCTTCAGCTGAATAGCTAAACTTTCCTAAGAAAAGCAATTGATCAAAAAATAATGCTCTCACAATATGTTTCATAGTAAAAAATTTCTTTAAATGTTTTTAATTCATGAAGATGTTGTCTCAAAATGTTTTTTTATATTTTTTGTTTTTTAATATTTAGAAGTAGTTAGACTGCTTAGCATGTTTGGTTTTTTCCCAAAAATGATACTATATGATTTGATTAAAATATCATTATTGGACAAGGTTATCCCTATATCTCTATTTTCAATTTAAATCCATTTTCCTATGTCTTCATAGTCTATTCAAAGAGTTTATAAACTGCTCGCAGGTTTCTTTTTCTAGCAAACTGTTGGATAGTTTGAATGCATAATTACTGTTAAGCGTTAAATAATGTATGCAAACTGTATGCATTACCTCATTTCAAGGTTTGGAGGTGGTACTTGAAATAATTAGCTACTTTGAAAACTGTTTGATTTAGCTGATACATTTTTATCGTTGAGTGATGCTACTGAGTCCTACTGTGTCCTACTTTGTGCTACTGTGTCCTAAGTATTTCTTTTGTATTGGCCAATCAAGAAAGACAAAAAAGTTTTAGGAAACTTTTGGGTCATTAGCAGAGCGTGGGTTTTTAAGAAAAGATTAAGAGGTGGGATATCCACACTTAAGATGGCAAAGGCCGATCTCTTCTTATTATAATGGCAATATATTTCGAATTGGGTTTTCTTTTGCAATAACTGCTTAGCGTTAAGATACACGCAGGGAAACTATACTGTCACCGAATATCCTCGAGCTGGCCATCAAATAACATTGAAGGGCAACGAGGTTCCATTTTTACAGACTATTGAAGCTAGCAACTTTGTTAGTTTTTGTTGCTTTGTAAGTAAACAAATTTGATAGTTTAGTCCAGGCTTTTCAAAGCAAAGGATAGCGTATTGATAAACCTTTTTTAACAACTTAACTGAGATCTTTTCAGGGCTTATCCCCACACTTGATGTATGGCAGTTTGCCCAATAATCTTTACATGAATGCTGATACGTCTTGCGCTATCAAACCCTATTTCTCTTATACGAATATGATATTGAGACCTCTATTAGCCTGTTTTTTTATGCAAGTCAAATTTCTGAGATTTCTATGCATCAAGATATTAACTCGGTGTTATTTTCAAAATTCTTCATTGCATTTCTGAAAACTCACCTTGTAACACGTGATAGATAGAAGCAGTTGATGTCATTTGAACCGTGGGTTAGGTTTACCGCATATTTCTTGCAACTGCAACAAATGAATTGATCTTTGACTGAAAATACGATTGCGTAATGCATAAAATACGGGAAATGCATAGTTCTCTACTTTGTATCTCTTACTCGTTTGTGCAATGTATTTTCGTCATTTTTATTTTTGTTATAGCTCATACTGAATATTACATATTTCTACCACCCGTCCCCGCCTCCATCAAGCTATCTGTTCAGCCAGGTCGCGAAATCATTTGTAACCCCGTCTGTTATCTGATATGATATATATTAGCCATAATCCTGATAAAGAATATGTTTATGATGCTGCTTTTGCGCTATGTTTTGAATTCCTTCCCCAAATTTTGCAAATACTTTAACCTCGCGCTGTTCTTTATAGTTATTGGATAAACAACTTTGGCTACGATTTTAAATCATCACAAGATGTGAGGATGCAGTTACTCGAGTTCCAGAACGAGGTCCAGCTCGATATCGGAAATAAGGCTGCTCGCCTTCTGGACTTGGAAAAGTGGTATGTTAATATTCCTTGTCAGTTGTTAAGTAGGGCATCTGGCTAGGAATAGTATAGTGGCTAGGAATGCGAGGGGGATGAGGGGGGGGGGGCAGCTACGGAACCCTTAGAACAAATATGTCAATAAGCCAATAAAAAACCTTATGAAAATTCTTTGTTTATTTTGTTTGTGTAACTATAGGCAATGCTTTTCCTCAAATAGAATGGTTATGACAGGACAGACATCAGACACAAGATTGTTCCGTATTGGCGCAGTTTCAAGTTTTCTCTCGTGTGAAGTGCTATTGCCAATAGAATAGTTTTCAAAAATATTATTTTTTTCATCAAATACAAGACAATTAATAGAAGGAATTTTGCTTTCTTGCTATATTTGAAGCTAAATCCCTTCAAGAGAAAGCTTTTTGTCTAAATGTAGCTGTCATTAGCTTATTTTTAAACATTTGCGAAAATAATCCGGTTGAAACGTGCGTGTTTGCACAGTGGTTCCTGTTAAATTCTTACCACAAACAGCTGACAATTGTCTATGTGTTGAATTTATAGACCAATAAGGAAAAATTCAAATGACTTTTGTCGTAAAATGTTTCTTGGATGATTTCATTCAAAGCTTTTGACATCAATGTCAGTAATTCTGTATTCTTTATTACAACCGAGGCTTGAATGGAATATAGTGACATATTTTTTGCCAATTTCACAACTTACAAAATAGAAAGAATTTTATATTTTTACTTTGAATCTAGGTTTATAGGATGAGGTTCAAAGAGACTGTTAAACAAATTTTCGTTGTAGGAATGTCACTAAACGCAGTCAGAAATTCAAGCTTGATTCAAGAACACATGACAGTCTTAATTTTAATGATATCAGTTCTAAAGATTTTGCTGCAAATATAACATATCTTGACTGGAATGGAATCAGCAAAATACAGGTGGGCTAGAAATATATTCTTATGTGTGTCATTAGCTAACGTCACGAACTCTTGAAGGGGGCAGGGTCCCAAATGCCCCATAACATCACTTAGAAATTTTGCGATTGGCCTGGTGTGTTGTTATAGTTCAAGTTATTTTCAAAAAGGTTTTATTTACAAAAGATTGGAGAACAGATTTCAATTCTTTTGTACGTCACATAAAGTTTTGCCAGATAGACCAGCTATATCTGGTCTTACTTTTCTGGTACTTGAATTATCGTTACCAAAGCGAGTCATCATGCCTTTTGATCAGAATTGTAGTTATTTCTGCCCTTCTAAAGCAAAAAGAAAGCGGTAGCCATGTTTTAGAAATTACTTGATTTTCTTTTCATGAAGTTCTAGAATCTTTATTTCAATATGATCTGTTTACCATAATTTTGTTCTAAAGTAACAAGGGTATGTATGACCAACGTTTCAGGGTGGGTGAATATAGAATTTCTCACACCATCGATAGATGAAGTCATATGGGCATTACCACGAACGTATTATTTTCTAAATGAGATCTAAAAGCATTTGAATGTTAAGAGGATTTAGCGGTCAAGATGTTATGCTTAGACCTCTATACTCCCATTCTGAATGCTAAACCAGACTGGCTTTTCCAAAAACAAGCCTTCAAGGGCGGTTTTCAGCGAATCTGAACTATGCGTTTTCGTTAGTTATATTTTTATGCTGTGAGATCAAACGAGTCTCTGAAAATACCCTTGCTGGATTGAGTGTGCGAATAGGAGAGGCCACGATAGGACTTTTGCTCTGATGAAGCCCCGTATGCCGGGGCGAAATATTAGCCATCGCTGATTTGTGTGTTTGTTGTTGTTTATTCTCGTATCGTTGCGGTGTTCCTTATGCACTACTATTAAGTAAACCCCCGGGGTGGGAAGGCGGAGAAAAGTTGGGCGATAATTAAATTGTTAGCTTGCTTGTATCCGATTTACGTTGTTTAATTAATCAAGGTTACCCTGATATTTAATACCTTTTCAGTTCGTGGAATGGAGGAACTATACAAAAGAAGGAAAAGCTGACTCAGCACCGAATTTACAAAAACAGATTGCCATGTTCAATAATATCTCCAAGTGGGTTGTTGCTATGGTACTACAAAAGGAATCAGCCAGTGGAAGGGCAAGGCAATTCAAAAAGTTTATTCAAATTTGTAGAGTAAGTAAAAGAAATTGCTATTTACGTGTCCATTCTATGTTTTATCAGTTCCTGGCAGTTGATTAAATGAGCTTGTCGAAATAGGAACAGCCAAGTGAGTAATGCCGCTTGCAAGTTTACTTTCCTGTCAGGCCATTTTTAAATGGATGTCGATGTTTGAATTTAATAGTACAACAGCCATTAGGGAATATGAAAGTAGCTCCTGCGCATAGGTCTGTACCATCTTTAGATGTTGAAAAGCTATTGCATGGCACAGTCGTTTAAAATAATTGGCTTTTGCTTAATTCTCGTGGTATGATCGAAGGTTAAGCTCTCATTAACAGATTCGAAGAAAGTTTAGAAATCACACCAGGATTTAGAATTCAGGTCATGATTGTGTTGGTTTTATCTGTTCGTGTTCATAGTTTGACTGAGATCCGTCATCGTGTTTTCCTTTTCGCAAGAACTACTAAATTGTGGTGAAACTTTTCAAACTCCTAGCCTAGTTATCCCACCGTTACTTTGCGTGATACAAAGGTTGCCAAGTGTATTTGTCGAACAGTATTGCTGATTGACTCTAGACCACTGACAACCTGCTTATGTGACAACAGTATTCACTGCTAACTTGAAAATACGATCATTTTAGGAACTGAAAGACCTTGGTAATTATAACAGCTTAATGGCAGTTATTGGTGGCTTGTCTAATAGTATTTTGAATAGAATGCACAAGACTAGAGAATTTTTGTCCAATGAAGATAAATTGGTACGTATCTTCAATTATTCTTGAGCTGTTTTGGAGAACCCTTTGCGATTGAATTTCAAAGCATTATCAGCCCTTAACTGCATTAATTGCATCTCCTCTGGGCAGTTAACAAACATGAACAGGAAAAAACATCGAATTTCTTCAAAACTGAAAATTGAAGTTTTGACCATGACAACAAACCAAAACTCCGATTTTGGGATAGTTGGGGGGTCATGGTAGCCAACCTTCTGATAGAAGATGGTACCTGATGATGATTAAAATTGAAGTACCACTGGCTGAAGATATACCGAAGCTTTTCGTCTGACTCTCTCAATTCAGGATATCAACGTCCGAATGACATTCAATAAAGTTTAAGAAAACAGTCAAAAAATAAGTAACAATGTTTATTTTCTCACGATTTAGACTATTAATATTGGTGATCCACTAAACTTAGACCTAATATTTGAGGGTTAGCATAAAATTGGCTGCCTCGCATTTTGATATCATTCGAAAACGTTTCAGTGGACACGTTTGCCTTTCAGTGGGAAGAAGTGATTATTTTGCTATAAAAGAGAATGGAAATAGCACGGCTTTAAGCTAGCCAGCCATCCATGGTATATGCATTTGATACAATATAACACAATTTGAGACTGAATTAAACCTTATTGTGAATAATCTTTTTTATGTCGTAGTTTATCAAGGAAATGCTCGAGCTACTTTCATCTGATAACAACTACAGTAACTACAGAAATGAAGTTTCAAAATTAGATGGAATTTACCTTCCTATATTGTAAGTTTTGTCTTTTTCCTTTTTGGCTTTGGGTTTTGAAGATATATTAAGACATTAGATCATTTATTTTTACAAAAAACTCTGTTTTTAGCAGCTATTTGAAACTGCAAATATTTGTTTTGCACTATGTCAGCTGTTTTATTATGCTCAACAATATTTTCTGAACTATAATGCGTTCTGTTCTTGTCTTTTATGTTAATGTCTGTTCTTGTCTGTTCTTGTCTTATATCAAGTTTTAAATTCGCATAGCTGATAGATGAATAAAGATTTCCTTATATCAAGACTTTCGTTTACATTCGTTCTGCAGGAATAGACTTCTAAATGCTAGGAGAGTCAATAATCAATTATTGCATGATTCCATTCATGTTTTATTTTTTGTCGTTGTTTTAAGATCTACGTTCTAGAAGAAATCCTAGCATAACGTGTTTTTCTTTTTCACAGTTTAAATTACGTACATTGTGCTCAGTAATTTTTCTTTTCTTTTTTCATGATGGTTGTTAAAATACATAGAGGTGAGAATCATTTTAGAATACGTATTGTCTTAAGCAATGCTGGTAAACCAAGAAAATCTTGCTTTTTACGGTTTGTGCCTCTTTGTTGAATGCATTGTGCCTAATTCAAGTTTTATCATATTGTTAAGGTACCCATGTAAATGAAAATAGTGTATTTACGGTTTTACTATCGTTTGCCTAATTATCACGAAGACTAGATATTAAGAAATTTTTTTAGATTGTTTTGTAAGTAGCTGGACCTATTTATGTTCGATTTATCCTTTTTTAGTTGCCACAGTCCAATATTTTTCTCGTTTTCGTTTCCGTCCCTTTCTTTGTTAAGAATTAAAATATTTTGGTTACGGGTAATATTTTTAGTTTACTTTTCTAAAAGCAAGATACCCACTTTTAATTCCTTTATTGAAAACTCCTACAAATTTTTGACTCAACCCTTTAAATTTATAAACTAAGAGCTTTAAACTTTGGTGAGCAGTAGGGGTTAATTTTTTTGACAATATTTTCTTACCAATTCCGACAAAGTAGCCAAGTTTCCAAAATTTCTGACTTATTTTGTGTTGTACGGGGCTGTAACTCCCCATGCCTCGGCGCCACTGTGTCCCAGTTTAAACTTCATGAACAAGAAACTGATGCCTGCAATTAATTACTCTTTTATGAATTGAAGAAAATCGATAAAACCTAGTTCTTTTTCCATTCGATGTTTTTTGATAAATTCAATCTTGTCAATTTTTTTATTTCAGGCGTTTTAATGAAAGATCTGATTAGCCTGGACACGGCTGTGAATGATTTCTTTGAGAAGAGAAAGAGGCCATTTTGCAATTACAAGAAAATGCTTCAGTTAGCACAACTTTTACATCAAGTAACGAATCTTGCCAAACACAAGCCTGAAATCGTCCCAAAACAAGATTTGGTTACCATGCTAAGGGTGTGTTTTATTCAATCAATTTAGCTTATAATCTACAAGTAACCTTAGTTTTGGCAGGAAGTCAGTGCAAGCTGACCTATCTAACACCTTGTTTCGAAATTTTAACCGTGGTTATGTTTTTGCAGAAAAGTTTGAATCTGAGAAGATAAGAATAAATAGTTTTTGCGCTTATGATTACTTTGTGCCCATTCTATCCATAATTCTGGGCTGAAATTTAAAAGATGAATCAATACAAAATTATTTCTATTTTCAAAGCAAACTGAAATCTAAGTGGTATAAGTCTTTGTTACTACAATGTAAATGCAGATGTGTGCGAAAAAAATTTAAGCTAACATGAAAAACTTTGCAACAGTGTAAACAGGGAGTGTGTTTTCTCTTTGTGAACTCGATTTTTAATGTAAAAATGAAAATTAAAAACTTCTTTTTTGTGATTGACATTCCTTATCTTTTCAGTCACTTATTTCTCAGTTATGATTCCTTGAAGTACACAATTTGTAGCGTCCTATTTGCCTAGTGGGTGTTTAAACAGGCGTTAGACCTGCTAGATTAATCATCTCACAAACATGAAGAAAATCGTTTTAGGTTTCTTTGCAACCAAGGTACAGTGAAGAGGAGCTTTATGAACTGTCCCTGGCTCGTGAACCAAGATGTGAAACGATAGGTGTGAGTAGGCCTTGGCACTTGAATCTTTCTGCTTTCATAGCAAATTGATTTTATCATGGTCTTTAGAGGGTTCTTTTTTATCGTGTTCATGTACACTAGGAAAACTTGGGACAACAACACAGTCTGAAAGGGAGGGTGGTAGCATGCAGCATTCAGATGTCCATGAAAGAACCCTTTTGACAAAGGCATAAGCTGTTACCTTTACCTTTTGGCAGAAAATGATTTTGTATTTCACACATTTTATTAGTTGATGCTTTACTTCAGCGACAAATTATTTCAAACTTTGACTATAATGCCTTTTAGTTCAAAAACCGTCTTGGAATTTTCTCAGGATCAACTAAACTATTAAGTCTGATTCTTTGTGCAAAACGTATCATACACGCGCTGCTCTCCTGGTAATCCGTAACTCCATACCCAAACTTCCATGGCCAAATGATAGGACCTGCAATACTAAAAGTAGGCCTGCTAGTCCTTCCCAAAATGCAACTGTTATCTTTAAATTATGCTAGTTTTTGATGCACTTGTCTTTTAGTACCGAACCTTAAAAAGCAATGGATTGAAACCCGTCTTTGCTGAGTGGGCTGCTGGTGTAAATGCAACTCCAGACAGAGAAACGGTTGAGCGTTATGTTGACCGCATGGTAGACGTGAGTCTTTTTATACAGTAAACACTTTCGCTCCGCCCCTTTGCATAAGATGTGAACCTAACACAGAGTTCAGTTCAGTTCAGTTCAGAACTTCGGATGCTGTGTGACTGGTGTGATTGGTCTTTCAAGTTGCGAAAACTTGAGGTTTCGTGTTGCTTGGCATAGAGCATATTGATGTGAAGGGAATTCCCTAGCAGGCGCTGGTTAAGCTTTCAAAATGTTTTTTCGATTGAAACCTTCAAAACCTTTCTGTTTTTTTTAGATATGATAGTTTCCTGGTAAATCTAGATAGGCCGAGGGGAGGAGGCATGCCTGCATGAAATTCCCAAGACCCAACCGCTCTAAAACCAGAACAGGTCATCTGGTAAATTTCACATAGCTGACAACACGTGCCTGAATTGATTTGCTGGAATGAGATTTTCCAGGATGCTTTTCACATTTATTGTTAAAACCTTGCAGCTCTTAAAAAGCCAAAGCTTCTTGAAGTTCTTTCACATTTTGGCTGAGACCCCTTCATCGGTGGATCAGTAAATCGTGGCTCTGGAAACCATCAATGGGTTTTAATCTGGATGAATATTTAAGTATTCAAGCTCCTGGTAGCATTGATTCTCCTGGTAGGAAACATCCAAACAAGTCCGCTCTCATCAATTGAAAAGGTTTTCATGTAGAAAGCTGAATAACATCTCGCACTGTCATAGGAAATGTCCATACGTATTCATAAAGATTTCGATATCGAACAAGCAACCTTGCCAGTTGACTAGGTCCAGGCTACTTACTAGATTTCCCTTATCTCAAGTTCCCATACTGGTCCGCATTTTCCCGCCTGCTCTGTTGATCATCTCTTGACAGTGTTGCTATATCTTCCAGATCTATTACCTGTACGTTGTTTTCTCTTGCAGGCGGTTTTCAAAATATACGATAAAGACCGGGATGGGAGCATTAACCAAGCAGAATTTCAAAGTATAGCGACAAATTTTCCATTTATTGATGACTTTCAAATGCTAGATACAAATTGGTAAGTTGATTAATGTGAATACTATGTTATCTTTGAGTCGTAAACCATTCCTAATAAAGCACAACAAACCCTTTTTTCTTCGATGTCAAATTGGAGGCATTTCTGAATGCTTTTTACAGCTTGTAAACATAGATGGGGAATGGGGAAGTTGGCAAACCGAGGCTAGGTAATGATCTAAGCGAGGTTATTGTAGAAAAATCGATAAAATATCAGTATAAAAGGAACACCGCAACGCGACGAGAATAAACAACAACAAACACACAAATCAGTGATGGCTAATATTTTGCTCCGGCATACGGGGCTTCATCAGAGCATTATTACAGTATAACTGCACATTGACTATAGAATTATGAGAGTAGGTCAACATGATTCTTGCCCTAAGGTGGAAAAAAGAAGCATTCCCCCGGTTGCTAGTTTGTAGATTTTTCCAATCCCCTGGAGCAAATTGAGAATCCTCTGCTTATTTTATTTTACATGGCATTGTTTTTTTTGATTCGGTAATCGAATTTAAGCATCTAATATCCGTATTTTCATCAATGTAATTATTTGTTAAAAATTTTCCCAAATTCAATACCCACTTGTTCGCATCCACCCACTTATGTTGACTCCTGTTTGTTAGATTTCAGAAAAACCCCAAGCCCCCTTTACTAAGCATCTAAGAGTACCAGAACTTTATGATGGTTGTAGCCTTTAAAATTTGTTCGCGTATTTGCAAAATCCAGTTTTAGAAATCCAGCAGGAATAAGAGAGTTAAGCTAGAGAGTGAAGAGAATAAGAAATTTTGAACAGATTTCATGTATCTTGCATATTTGACTTTATTTTTGGTTTAAATGACCAAATCATTTGACTTTAAATTGTTTCACACGATCATTGCGGTTTTCAGCTACAACTAGATTCAATCCTCGGTTTTGTAGAAATAATTAACCGTTTAACTAACTCCAGAAATTTATTTTTCTTTGGAGACACAAATTCCTAAAATCAAAGGCCATCCTAATCTTTCCAAGAATGTGGGCATACCAATGATTGGAAAATTTGTTTTAGTGATGACAGCATAAGTCGGGAAGAGATGCGAAATTACTTCATGAACGTCAACTCGCACAAGATGACAAGAGATTTCGTCCACTGCTTCCAGGAGACAACTATCATCACTCCAGTATTGTGTGAATATTGTACAGGATATGTAAGTCTGATCCTCTGTGAATTTGCTACTGTTTTTAGCCTGTTTCGGACAACTTCCTCTCCAATTTTCCACAAATTCTATTTAATTTTTTCAATGCTCATAATTTCCATATATGAATAAAGAGACTTGACCTTTCAATACTTTTTTATTTATCTTACTTATAAATCCCTCATAGGCGCATATAATCTCAAGTAAAGGGTGAAGAGATTTTTCAAAATTCCCCTTGGTTTGAAATGCTCAATCCTTGTCAAATTGCGTGGAGGTATTCCATGTATATATACAAAATTTGTATACAAATCAAGTTTCTGGAATGTGAAATCAATAATAAACACAAAAATATGTTTTGTATTTTCATTAAACAAGACCATTTAGACGTTTTTGTCTCTTGGCCTGTCAAACGATTATTGTTCCTTCCTTAAAAAAACATCCAAGGTTCTCGAAGCTCAACCTATTGAAGGAGCAGCTCTTTCCCTTCAAGCATTATATTGCCCAATATTTTTATATAAAATTTATTTTTGTTTTTGATGTTGAATTTATTTTCAAGTATTATATTTTTTTGTTTTTCTTCCTCTAGCTTTGGGGCCTCGGTAAATCAGCCTACAAATGCAGAGGTATTTATCAAATTAATTTTTCTATATCTGAATGATATTTTCCCATGAAATTCAAACTGAGATTTAAAGGCATGTTTCCAGTCTTACGAGTTTCGTGCCAGTTCTCTACTGTTCATGGTAATCATTTTATCAAATCGCTCAACCCTCTTCCAACTTATCAGGCAAACTCTGAAAACCTTCCTAAAGAAATCAGTCAAAAATAGGCGTGGTCTGGGAGTGTCAAGTGAAAATATTTCGTATTCAGTAACCGCTCTAACAATCGTTAGCCGTGAAGCTTGTTTTTACTAGCCTCTTGTTAAAGGTTGCTTTGAGCGAAACAGAAATGTTGAAACAGTCTTCGCGTCTGACACTCTTTAAGAGTATAAACGTCAGAACATAGATTTAAAGCTCTAGCCTGGGAAATATATATACCCAGTTGTGGAATGCGAAATGCATAGCATAGGAATTCGCAGGGATTTGAGAAATATTTATAATACTATGTTTTTTTTGTCTCTTCTTTATTTAGCTATTTAGCTAGAGTGTCTGTCTTCTTTACTAGACTTCGTTAACCCTTCCCTGCTAAAATCAGAGGTCCATGCCTTTGCACAGTCCTGGAAAGGCCGCGTTTCAACATGGTGCCTTCTCCCCCACCTCAAGAATGATACCTCTGTTATTAAATAGCATATGCTTCATCTTTTAAAGTAGATAGGGTTAAATATAAATGCTTCCCAGTGTGATTTAAGGCCTTTTTCTCAAAAGCTATGTTTGGGATTGTAGATTGCACGATTCACCACTGCATAACTGTATTAAATTTCAATGATATCAGCTATGTAAAAATGTCTTTTAGATCGAGCAGTATTCTTCCATACGTAGCCGTATAACCCATATTCAATCAAAATTAACAATAGTCTATGTCATGAAAGCGTAGCGAGCATTATTATTATTACCTAGAACAGAATGAAAAGGGACGAAAGAGATTTTGTTGCTCAACGGTTTCTGTTGTTCCAATCATGTATAATTGAAGTCAGGATCGAATAAACTGTTTGTTACTCCAGATGAGTTTTCTTCGTTTTACTGTGATATTTTTCGTACAGAATGCCAGATAACGTGTCATAAAGACTGCAAAGATCACGTTGTTATGGAATGTCGTCAAAAGAATCACATCAAAGGTATGCTTTTTTTAAGCTAAGATGCTTAGATGAAGATTTTCCCTTATTATCGAGGAGTTTACGTATTTCAAAGTCTTTAAACGAACTGAAGATAACATAAGGAGCCGCAGCCAGTCTCCCCTTTGCCTGCTTATTTAAACTAATAGACAGATCCGAGTTGATTGTGTGAGGATGGTGGCAGACTAGCAAGTCATACAAGAGAGGATCGAGTCCCTGATCCAATGACCAAACGTTATTTAAAGTGAATCGTCAGAGCACTGCAATTCTAGGAAATGGAATCATAGGGTATGGTCTTATAAGGAGGAAAGACAAGGAGACTTCTTGATAAGTCTAGATTCTCTGATGGCGGAAGCTGTGTAGTATCTAATAGAATTACAAAAAAATTATGCTAAATTTTCATTAGGGAGAATAAGGTTGGGTCATGGCGTGGTTTTCAGGGATGGAAAGTCAGGTTTAGGACAACACCCTTTTATTAAAAACGCCCCCTTTTTTGCAATACTTCAGTGTCCCATTTCAAAAGAATTGGCTAAACGATATTTCGATTAAAGTTTGGTCATTACTACTTCTCTTTACGTATTTCCATGAAAATGCCATTTGTTGTTCTTGACTGACGATTCCTGAAGACTGAAGACTTTGTTCAAATACCCGAATTACTTTATGTAAAGTCGCATGCTCCAAATATTGTTGCCGAGTTGCTATTTGTGTATGAAAAATATGTTTCTTGCATTATTGAAATACCCATAAATAATTGTACGATTTTTAAAGCAGTCTCACCGAGAATTTCAGTCTTTGTTTCTGCCCTCTTTGTCAACAGTCTTCTACCATGCTCGATCTGTTTTATTTTCAGTATTCCATTTTAGTGGGATTGGTCCGTCTCCTCTCGCTTTTACACACAGTTTCCCCATACATACCCTGAGTAAAATTTTTCTCTCTGTCATTAAAGTATGAATTGCCATAAAATATGATGAAGATAAAGGATTCTATTTCCTTAGATTTTTCTGCGAAATCGCCTCAAAAAAACACTAGCCTCAAAGCCATTAAAAAGTTTTTTAAAAGGGGCAAATTACTCCATGAATATCTCGTGCACCTTTGCTCGAAATCCTATTGTTTCATGTGAAAATCCCAAGAAATCCTTTTTTTTTGGTGGAAATCTCGTACGTTTCTTACAATGGTGTATAGACACTCGGTTTTATGCTGTCCATATTTATTGTTATTGTCAAATTATCCAGTTTCCATAGAACCGTTAATTTCTTTGCCTTGCCGAAGATTCTGCTTCAGGTCAGATTTCCAAAATTTTGTTTTTGTTCACATTAATGCAAAAACTTCAGTTCCCATTTCGAATTTTCTGCATTATTCAAATTATTCAATTTTGTCTATTTTGTTTAAATATATTCTTTCGAATGTTTAAGTTTGTCTTGACAATTGCAAGTGTCCTTATCTTTTGATTTAGTTTTCATTCATTCTTTGTTTTCTGTTCACTTGTCATCACAGTATTCAGCAAATGGAACACGGACCCCCAACTAAGCTTCTTAGAATGACCGGTTCATAGAACACAGTGACCGGCTCTTAGAATCCCGTTTAATAATTATTTTCCCTTTATTAATTTATTAATTAATGTCTATTAAAAATAAATAGGAAGAATGCTCATCCTGAGTAGATAGCTTTCTACAAGAGAGGATTGCCAAGGGTGCATGACATTGCATCTCTTAAGAATGAGATTATTGTAGGGGCATTCTCATTGGCGCGAAAGCTTGGTCGTTTTATCCCGAGATCAAGATCAGGTTCAAATCATGTTTTTTTTTCAGGCTACGCTGTTTCATCTTGTTGCAGTCTTATCTATGAACAAGCTTTTGTGTCTTCAACAAGTCACAAGTCCTGTCATTCCGGGGCTTACCCTTTCAAACACCCCCTGCGTAACAAGCCCGGTGAAAACCGTCCCCATCGATAAACATTTTGACTTGGGGGTCCCCTTTCAAAAGAATCGAACGACTCTTTAATTTTTCTATTTTCCCACATCATCTGCCAGCTGAGATTTTTTGTCCCGAGTCAATTTTTACCCAGCCCCTTTCAGTCTGAGACCAATATTTTTCTCTTCCCTATGCTATCATCTGGCGAAAATTCCTCACCGGGATTGTTACACAGTGGTGTTTTCAATCCTGGGGCAACCCACCTGCATGCAGAAGCGATTGCATGACGTTGGTTTGAGACGGGAAATCAATTGTGAATGAACTGGCTCATCGGTCTGAAAAGCAATGGTCGATTTAATTACTATCAAAACATTTAGATAAAGTTTGATTGATCTTGATCAGACCGATCAAAAGATTTCCCTTACAATCAAAGAAGTGATTGCTAGTAAAGGAAAACAGCCGTAGATACTGCTTGTTTTGAACCGTTACGCGTGATGCGCAGTTCTTTAAAATGAGAATCTAATAACAAAAGCCATGCAATCCATGACTCTTTTATATTTATACTTGGAACCAACCGTTTACGTAACCGAAGGGTAATTAAATAGAAGACTGAGTCTTAAATTGGTATTTCCGCATTGATAGATCAATGGGGCTGTCGCTTTTATACAGTGACGTCATGTTTAGTTTCTGTGGGAGTAAAAGTCAAGAATACTACATTGTTCCCTGTTTAAGTTAATAGTTTGATGGTTGGTTGTTGACAGTTTTTCTATAAGTTCCTTTTTGGGTTTTTCGATTACTCAGTCTCGTAGCGTGGTGCTTTTGTGATTCAGTTGATATTGTATAATTTGGGTATGAAGAGTTCACTACTTCATTTTTTGCATCTTTTAGTAACGTGAGTATCAAAGTCAGATTATACTCTTTGATGTCTAATTCTGTTGGAGCACGAAATATTTGCTATACAGACTAGGGGTTTGTAGTAACATAAGTTCAGGAAGGTTTGAAGTTTTCTAAGAGTTTTTCCTCACCGTGGTTACTATCAATTTTACAGTGAAGATGCCAAAGTCAAAAGCGCTGAAGAAAAAGCTGAAATTTATGGAACAGTCTTTCGGCGGATCAACTGACTCACAAATCTCTAATGGCGAATCTTCGTCTCCGATTTCGCTGCAGAAAATCAATTTAATTGACAATGACGAATTGCAGCTATTGAAAAGCAAGCTTTATGACTCAGAGAAGGTTTGTTGGTTGAACGATTTCTTTCCGTGACTTTCATTTTGCAGTCCTTCGCAGCTATGCAATTCATGTTAACCAATGATTTCGCAAAATCATTCGTCGATTTTTTCTATCAGGTCTAGGATTGGCTGCGTTATTCTTGTTTCTCCAGGACTGGTAACTCCATTATCCTAGAACATTTTAATCCAAAAACATTTAAGTAGTTTCCAGCTCTATGATAGTTTCAAAATTGCTTTGAAAAAAGCAAACATCATGAAACACACTAAAGCTTTTAGTAGACTAAAAAAGTAAAAAACATCAGAGCATAGATCGAAAACTCAGAGCTATAAAATGAGTGTACGATTTTTCTAAAAAGAGGCCTTAATAGCTGTCAACCATTCTGTTTACTTCTAAAGAGAAGGAAAACAAGTCCTTGCCATTTGAATATTTTTGTTAAATAGCCTGGTACTGGATTTCTTGCCAGTGTTTATCGCTTACCGTAGTCCCTTCAAATTTCGCCTGCCTTTATTTTTCGCCCCGGAGGGGGGCGAGAATTAAAGGGGGCGAATTATGGAAATATTTAATGGGGCGAAAATTAGAGGTAGCTAAAATTAAAGGGTCCTTAAAAAATCTATTTTCTATAATAGAACCTTAGTTTTTAGGCCCTTCAAGAAAACTTCAAGCTACCATCTTTGCGCGCGTCAAATTTTTATCCTGCGTTGATTGCTTTCATTGTTACAGTTCTCATTTAGTGACTTTCTGAAAAAGTATCCATAGTGAAGGTCATAAAAAGATTTCTTAATGCTAAAAATTTTGACAAAGATGATAAACTTATGTCTTTTAAGGGGCCTTGCTGTAGTTCAAATCCATTAATCTTCGATAACGATAATATTGTCCTCTCCAATGTCTGAAGGGTGATTTTGTTCTTCCATTTCTGAAGTGTTCTCCTCCTCAGGGCCATATTCGTCCAAATCATCAGCGGCTAATCTCTCCTCGGCTTCAGTTTGGTCAGAAGATACTATCATCTTCTCTTGCTCAATATAGTAGTCTTGAAGATATTCTTTCATTCGATTGAAGACAGAACTTGGCGCCTTATCCTTATAAACGATTAGTACAATCGGTATTTCGAGTCCACTTTTAGGAATTGGCGATCTTCTATATAATACTTGTTGTCTCGTACACGACCTTCTAAAGCGCCTCCATAATTCAAGAAAAAATGACAAAAGTGATTTTTCAGCAAAAAGTTTCCGAACAAAAAAAGATTTTTCAGTGGCCCGAGTGTAGTTTCATGCCGCATGAACGTTCATCGCTTGGAAACTGATTAGGTCAAAGCTTTGAAATTTAAAGGGTTTGGGGGCAACGATTAAAGGGAGCGAACTTGTGCACAAAAGGGGGCGAGAATTAAAGGGGCGAAAATTAAAGGGAGCCAAAATTGAAGGTAGGCTAAATTTGAAGGGAATAAGGTACCAGTGTTTATAAAAAATATTATTAAAATATAATTAAAATATCCCTGCCTTTTTTAAGGAAAAGTTGCACTTCTTTTTTCTGAAGTAAAATTTACTCTGCTTAGTTGCCTAGTTTATCTGAAACCACTTTGGATCGGTATCATTTTCTTGCGATTTGAAAGCCGTATTCAAAAGCCAGTTACAAATTGTTTCCTTGTTGTCAGTCCTCGTATTGTTTACAGTCCAGGGAGAGCCCTCCCATACATTGGAAGGGATTGCGTTCCTACTACCCATCACAGTTCCGTAGGACGCACAGACACAACCCAAACATTAGGGGATACAATAAAACAACACGTCCCTTCCGAAGTAGAGACAGAACCCTCTCCATAGAAGGAAAGTGTCCTCAAATTGGCAAACCAAAAACAGCTATTCAGAAGAGCACCCAAATTTTGCCAAGAAAATACAGTGACATGTTTCGGATTTTTTGTTGTGCCCTGTCGTCGTTTCATCTTTTAATTTTAGAATTTACGTACATGGAAAAGAAAAAATCGCTATTGTGTAGGCAAAAAAAGAGTTCGTTTTCACCAGTATCTCATCTTGGTTAAGTAATAATTTGTAGCCACCACCTGGTGCAAAGATAATTATTTTTGTACGTGTCACCCACCCCAATATTGCAAGGCTTCCGTAGAAAAATATTTTCGTCGATATATTAAGAAAATTATGGTTTTTGGTTTAACATGCAGCATATTAGCAGTTTATGTCCTTGTGTTGAAATATCTTCACATGATCATGGTGTTATTTTGAAAAGTTCTCTCGCTTTATTTTCATTTGAAATCATCTCAGAGGCTCGTTTTTATTTTAAGAAGCTTATAATTTAAGAGCCTGATAAACCAAAGAAAGTTTTATTTTGCCAGACAATATCCTAATTTTCATAATCTTCTTTGAAATTTCTTGCGAGTCAACTTTTGCTGTTAATTGCAGGAGCAGACATTGTTACGAGAAGAAAACGAGCAATTAAGGTTAAAACTCCACGATGCAGAAATTGAAGTCGACGAACTTAGGTTGAGACTTTCTGATTTCAGACAACACACTTCTTACACGTTTTGGAAACAGATGCAGATGTTGAATACGAAAGTGCAAACGGACGTATAGCTCAACGGTTTCCGCTAACTACCTCCATCAGTTTAGCAATTTGGGACAACAGAAATCTTGATAAGACAGAGACCATAAGTAAAATATGTCAATTTCATGTTTTGCTTTCATGACTATATCTCGTCAGAGTTTGCTCAGCAATCTGTCTCGCAAAAAGCTAAAATTTTGAGTCATTTACGCAAAATCCAGAAGTTTTATTTTTGCAAAGAAGATAAAGAACTCTTGGAACAACGTTGTTTCAAACTGATCAACAGATTAAGAGACTGTAAATTCTTATTATAATTTACGCTCATAGTTATTAGTAATGGCCCCTCTTAGATAGATAGTTTAATTTCTATTTATTTTTATCCATATATTAATGTAATGTAACTCCACTCCCACTTTTTATGTATGCTATAGATTAGAAATTTTCCGGGGAGCTGTGAATTCGAATAATTAAGTAAAGATGTAGAGTAAATAAAGATTTAGAATAAATATCCTTTAGAATTTATCACCACCGTCACCATCACCATCCCTATTATCTTCAATGATGGTAATAACAATGAATTAATTTCATTTTCGATTCAATTGCAAATCTCATTTTCGATTCAATCTGGTGTTTCAGAAAATTCTGTAAGAATATAATACAAAAAAAATAAAGAATGATATTTATGTATTTTGATAATGACAACAATGGTAGTGATAATCTTCAACAATAAAACCTTCAATCACAAATCAGCAATCACCAATCACAATCTATCAATCGCCACTACCATTGTATTTCGATGATTTTATCATACATGTATCAAAGAATTTAAAATCGTAAACGTCGATTAGTCAGTTGTAAACCAATATGTACAGAACAGTTATTTGGTTTAAACAGAAGCATTCTCACGCTGGTTACCTCGTGGTATTTATTTATTCAAGTCTTGTGCAGCATGTAAAATATTGAAATTATAAAAACAATGTGTAATGCCTCAGTCCCTTCCACATAGTACCACAAAATTCATTTGATGAGCTTAGTCAATCCCTGTCCGTCTAGTGATTAATTGAATCACAAATAAGTAAAAGTTATCGCATTAAGGACAGATGTTGTCACAAAATCAATAGTCAAACTTATCAGAAAATTTTGACTCTTCAACTATATTTGTTCACTAATTTTATTGAAAATATAAAATAATTAAAATATGCCTTTATCGCCTTCCTTTTTATCTGCACTTGATAACGGGTACGCTCCAAATGTCGTTATTTTAAATTCGCTTATTCTCTCGTCCAGTTTCAAATTATTTAAAGTTATATTGACGCATTTTATTGTACAACACGCAAGCTAGTATATTTCCCCTAATTTATTTGTAAATATGCCATTTGTAAACAACAAATATTTGTAAAAATTAACAGAACAAAACCGAATGGTTCTAAGGACCCTGCGATGGAGCAAAAAGTTAGTCCCTGTTCTGATCACTGATCTAAAAAAAGACTGGATCGAACAAACTATTGATCTCCTATATTAGCACGTGGAAGTGACCGAGTCTCTCCATGTTGGGACCTCTCGCGCCTAAAGCATAGGGCTGCCATGCGTAAAAACTGTACAAACAGCGTGCTGCGCTTTTTATTGTGCATTAATCATTAAATTCTTAAATAACCGACTCTCCTCCACAGAAGCTATTGGGAAGGGAGATGAGGACTGAGAAATGGTGGGGATTGAGAAATGGTGAAGCTGCGGGAATAGGAGGATAAGGGCGGAGGAGAGGAGGAAATGAAAATTGCCGCTATTTTTTCCTCCTTCTCCCTCGCAGCTCCTCCACCTTTTCTTTTCTTCCGCAGTTCCTTTTATCCCATCCTTTTTCCCTCCCATTCTCCTTCCCCAATAGCCTCTGCGGAGGAGAGTTTACATAACCTAAGAGACAACAAGCCTAGAAGGTAAGTGAACAGTGGATTCTCCCTTGCATAAACTAAATACTACGGCAAAAATGCTTAACGTCACTTACGAATGCTTTTTCATTGCTATGAAAAAGCAAGTTGAACTGAAACCAACGTGATTGCTCTCTAGTCTCAAGCAACACAGGAAGGTCCTAACATGGACGCTGCATTGTGCAATCAAGGCTGAGCTGGAGAAGCTCGATCAAATCTTTTTTTGAGATCAGTGGTTCTGATGCAATGATATAGAAGCGCCTGCGCTTCTATACCATTGTTCTGATGCCATGGTCGCTGTTGTTATTGTTGTTTTCCACTGCATTCCAGTTGAAGGGATGTCAAATCGTGCGTTCTCGCAAACTGTTCTCTGCTCTTTCTAAATAAAATAATTTCTAATTTTGTTTAAATCAATTTAATTGGGATTTACAATATACACACGGTTACCTACCCTGGGTACCAGACGCACTATTATATAGTTCACAAATTTCCTTTTGACTGTTGTTTGTATAGGATTCGGTGTTGCAGTTTAAACCTTTACTAAATCTGACAAACATTTCAAATTCTTGAAAACGGAAGCAAGTAACGGATATATTTATTTTTCATTTCAGTCCCACCTAGAATTGGTAACAGAATTTAGATTTGACAGCAATGCTTAAAAATTTCTACAAGATCTGGTGTACATTGAGAGTAGTTCTGCTGTTCAACATTCAAAACAATAAAAGTTAACTGACTATGTTTAGAAAAACGTAGGCCACTTTTCTCTTCTTCTTTGCTTCAAAGAAAATTTCTCTAGCTCAGATTTGCATTCGTGTATCTCGACCGGTATCAAGCTTAAGTAAGAAACAAATATTTCATGAAATATTTCTGTGATGTACTGCAAAATTTTCAGTGAGATTAAATCTTTATTTGTAGCATTTGCCTCTGAAATTCCCTTGATTATTTCGCTTGAAATTTGCATAAATTGGCATGCTCTTACATTTGAAAATAAACCAAGATTTAAACTTTTAAGGTCACAGAAAGTTTTGTTTGAATGCATGCAGATAGAAAAAAATGGAACCTCTGTGTTCTATTAAGACCCACGATGTCAAACCAATTTCGTAGTTAGCATATTCTCTCTGAAGAGCGCCCTTTCCCTCTAGTGAGCGATCCTCTCTAATAAGGGGCATCATCGAAAAAGTCATCAGCTGGAACCTATTCAATAAACCCTACGCTGTTTCGATTGGAAAAATTATTTGCAAATGCTGACAAAACTTTATAAAATTCCATTGAAAGGTATTGAAAATTTAGATATTCAAGAGGCCACACCCAGTTTTGGCCACTGTTGACAAAATGCATTTTCTATTTAATTAGAAAGTATCATAGCTAAAACATTCAATTAATCGATTATAAAGTACTGTACATAAAACAACTTGTGCCGTATATAAAATAACTTTATAATCAAATTTTGAATATCTATTTATGATCTTATCTATTCTGAACAGCTCCTTTCGACAACCAACATTGCACGTTGTTTAGATATCCTCGCCGTACGTTTCTCGACTGTGAAATTCTTCATTGCTGTTGGTCCATCTCGGCTCATCCTTGCACGGTTTTGTATTGAATCTAAGTTGAGGCCAAAATTTATTGACATCAAATATTTTGTTTGAAAATCGACACTTGTCTTCGTAGCGAGGAATTGGAGGTATTTCATAGTGCGTTGGTTTGTCTGCCAGAAGATTTTCAATATAAGAAGATATATTCCAGTACATCTTCATTGTATTGGGGTAGCTTCCATGTAAACTGAGGTATTTCGTGCAAATATCTGGTCGATTATATTTCTCTAGATCGTATGATGTAGCAAAATTTATGACACGATCGTTATCGTAAAAATATGTGACATTATATTTACTATCAAGCATCCATAATGCAACGGCCTGGTCGCCAAATGGATGACATGGCAATGTTGAATTTACTTTAGAAAGAACTTCTTGAACGAGGTTACCCGACAAAATCATCCAACCTTCATCAACCCTGACAATATCTTTGCGACAATGAATGAATCCCCAGTAAAGAGAGTTTCTAGGTCTGTGGGGGAGCTCGTAAACAAGCCGATCTAAACATAGAAAATGGTCATCATCGATTCGGAGGAAAAAGTCAAAGTTGTAGTGAGCAGCAGCCCATTTCAACATCCATACCAATCGCAATGCAAAATTATTTCCACCTGGAAAAGCAAGAGGAGAGATGAAATTAAAGAACTTTAGCCATCATGTAATACTGCTGGAAAAAATATTGGACAAGACTAAAATGTATTTTACTTGACAAAATGTTTGACAACATTTTTATTTGGCTACTTAAAATACGATATTTTCTATTCCAATCTACATTTTTGATGATGTTTTAACGTAACATGACCCAACACGGATGAAATGAAGTTTCATAACCTTTGCTTTTTGTATTTTTATTTCACCTGGTAAACCTGACAAGCAGATGATGTTGATGAGATTGTTATCATTTAATCCAGGGACCACTTTTGATAGTTTTCTAGCCTCGAAGCAGCTACAAACTGCCCAAAATCCTGTTCCTATTACCATTTTATTGAAGGTTTACAAGTAAATGGATGCAAGTTACAAAGACAAATTTATGATATTTATATAGTCATCTTGAAGTTAATAAAACCGGTGGAAAAGAAATTGAAGCTCTTCAGCTAGCAAATGACAATCGTTTAACCCTCGTCAGCGTACAGTCTCTCCCGAATTACTCTGGGTACTAGAGCGTCAATAGATGATAGGAGTGGAGAAGCGGAGGAGCATCTATCTTCTCCTCTGCTAGACGCTCCTCCGCTTCTACTGTTGTTGTTCTATTTATGCGCTCGAAATTTTATGGCTTTGTTACCCAGTGTACACCACCTAACGAGTTTGGAATTTAGAGAAAGGCAGTTCAAAATGCAAAACATTTAAAGATTTGGGAGAATGTTTTGAAACTTATAACAAAAATTTGAACAAGAAAAAACACTTATCAAAACAGTCATTCCAAAAGATCGAAACAAGCCAGATGCTATTGCTAAGTGATTATATACAAGTGTGTCGAAACCACATGTCATGATCTGTACAGGTGTTGATGAATTGTAGTCCGCATAAGAAAGGGGTGGAAAGCTTGGTTGCCATCAAAGTTTTTGCTCTTGTACAAAACTTCAAAACAGCTATCATATTTTCATTTAGAAAGAAAAATTTGCTCGAGAAAAACCTTTTGTACGGCTTGAGATTTAAGCCTTATTGATTAGAAGCTAGTCCTTGCTGCTATACTGGAAAAATTAGATGATATTCTCTCATGTTGTGAGTTTTGTTCAAATTCCTTAAGACTCAAGATGGTAGAAGCCTTAAAATTTTATGCATCGAACATTATAAGCATTTCTTATAGCAATGAATCGAGGCTGTTTGTAAATGGCAATGCAACTCGACTTTGAATGAAAAGTAATTAGAAGAGATTACGCTACTTTACGATTTAATTTCACGGGGATAAGTAGCACAAACCTTTGTATGGCATAAACAACATGTCCTGATGAAGCAATTTCTCATTTTTGACCCTTGTTCTATTTACTTTGGATAGCGATTCTGTCGTATCTGTAAAGAAGAAACAGGCTAGCTTTCTGTTCTGCTTCCTACATCTTGACATCCATGTAGACCTGACTGCATCTCTTCTATCGAATGCTGTTACTTTGTTTAAAACTGCAACAAACAAAAGCAAATTCTGCTTTTCCTGTAGCCGATAGGTTGTGTTCTCCGTAATATCCTGCTCTGGAACGACTAGTGGAAGCAACTTTTCATTGCCTATGTGTTTCCCTGCTTTTGGCCACTTGGAAAGACTTATAAAGAGCAACGAAAGCTCCAATGAACTGTAAAATATTATCACGAAAAGCAACCATGGAAATATGTTTTTCCCAGATGTGATGACAAAACTGCAGCTGCCCGAAGATTTCATTACAAGACAAGACGGTGCACGTGCCAATTTCGGATAAAGACATTAAAAGTGAGCTTTTCTGGATAACGGCTTAGCTGTAGAATATAGCTTGCGTATTCGTAAACGTTGGTTGGCTTTATAATGTAGCTTTGGTAGGTGTGTGGATTTATATTTGGATAGATATTGTTGCTGTGGATACCGATTTCGCACAGAAGAATGCCGAGGAAGTTCAAATTGGCCTTGACATCTCTATGGCTTTGTTTATTCAACATGATCTGTAAAGTAACCTGCTCTGAAAAATATTGATGGTTTTTAAGAGTTGCATTTAGTCCCATGCCACGTTGGCACAATGAAAGCACAAGATCTTGTACAGGCCTAAACAGTACTGGTTTTTCAAGCAAATATGATGCAAAAAGGTCCAAGACAAGAACCTTGAGGAGCATCGTATCAAAATAAATCGATTTTTAATTTTTGAAGAAGATAATTGCGCCGCTAGGAAGAGCATTTCAAATGTATATTTTAAAACAGATGTATCAAGTGCACCTGATTTTTCATGGTTTTGTTTAGGGGTACGGGTCAAATTATTTTTGATGGCAAGTAAACTTTGTACAGATCAGGTTTGCGTACCCATATGCAGACTAACGATCATCTGTAGTTAGATACTTCAGGCAAAACAATCGCTATTCATTCGATGTAAGAAAAAGATTGTGTGTGAGATTGAATATACCACACAAATACAATATACTTTTGCATAAAACCTTGGATTGTCAACAGGATTTATTTAAGCTTTTATACAGTGTCCCTTAAAATAAGATTAAATTTGTAAATTCACTTATTATATAAGATCCGATTTTAGAAGGTGATTTTCTGCATCTCTGTCTACTAAATTTATCATTTTTTAATTGAATTTAGCAATTAAGTTGATTTTTATCAAGGGTTGACGACCTTCAAAGAGACTTGGAGTTGACGAAAAGCCCTTGAAACGACCTTTTATATGTTTCAAACCTATGACATTATGTAGCTCCTATTCCATAGTGTTAGCCAATTTGTGCAGTGTGCGGTGATAAGTCTAGTACTTATAAGCAAGGCGGAAAAATGTTACGCATTTTTCACACGCTTTCAAATTTTTCAGCTCTGGAAGAGAAATTTGATAGACTGAGAATAATCGAAATAGAGGGAAAGGTGGCGGGTGGGGGGCAAATTGCGAGCTATATATTCAATTCAGTAAAGGTTAGCGGGATTTTCCATCGAATTCTGCCAAAAACAGTGGTTTGGAATTCATTTCCCAATGAAGAAGACAATCAATATGAGTAGAAAATCAAAAAAAAGAAATAGAGGATAAAAAAAACAAAAAGACTTGAATTTCAGTTTATTGCTTTTTAATTAAACTGAAAGACTTTTCACGACCTTTGTAATTACTAATGAATTGTTCTTCTAGTATCGTTTTGGCAAAATGGCGTTCTTCGCATTAATAAGTTTTGAGAGTCTTCACGCAGGCTACATTCATAGCACACTAAAGTAAAGGCAACAAAAATCAGTCTCATGTATTTTTGATCATCTATGGCCGAAAAGATTTGTGCACAGACCAATTTCAAACAAACTATCGTATTTACTAAAACAAAATTGTATTTGGTTTTAGTAAATGCTAAGATAACAAAGAACCTATACACGTGCTTAGATAAATCACAAAAGTTTCACTGTGGAGCCAGACAAAGTTCGGTTGCCTTATTTCTTGTAATTAAACTGGATCAGTATGTAGGATCTTGCCTGTGTAGTCAAAATGAAAAAAAGTTTACGTTTTGTCGATTTTCTGTTTTAAAATCCGGCAATACTGTTTGATTGCTATTCCTATTTATATCGAGTAAATATCGCTTGGCAACTGGAGAAGCGTGACACAAGCGATATAGCTTTTTTCTTTGAGCGATATGTCTGTCTACAAACACATCTTTTTTCAGTGTTGATTGTAATGAAAACATGCATTAAATATTTTTCACTGGAAATGATCCGGAACAGAAAGAACTGTAAAATAACTACCCTTGCAATATGAAACTGAATTGCTTTAATTTGATTCCCATAACTTCTGAAATTATTTCTGAGATAAAGCTTTCGACTTGATTGGTTGCATAATTCATTTACATCTCCCGTAAAATCCAATTTCAAAGCATTTTATGCCCCAAAAAGTTGCTTGATTCGTGGCCTCGACAATGTCCCCACTAAAAGAGAGGCAGAACAATTGTCATAACCGAGAAAAAAGCACGCTCAACTTTCAAGGCAGGGTGCAACTCTAAGCATTTCTGTTACATGCATGGACAGTGTGTCCACGAATAACAATACTTGTATTCGAGCTTTGTATTACGCTAAATGTTTGGGAGTGTTATCATCCATTACTTCTGTATGGTCCAGGCCCTAACGTGATGGTCACGTCAATTATTGTTAACGGTAATTCATGCTGCTTGTGCAGTTAGAGAGCGATTTGAATGTTACGGACAGTGAAAGGCCAGCAAGGCCACTCTTCAAGAATATGTGTTGATTTTGTTGCAAATAGTTCTTTTAAATATTAATCTTATATTCAAAATAATGCTTTTTCTCTTGTCTCATACAACACATCAACACCAGTTCAACAATTAATGAAATTTAACAAGCATTGGCCCATAGCTGATTGCTTAGGAACAGCGCATGATCTGTTTATCCTCTTCCTTTTTTTCACAAGGTAACTAGATAAATGTTCACTCTGTTCAAATGCTGAAGAACCAACGCAATAAGTGTGGCCAAAGGCAAACCATCGACTAATCTTTGAAGTGCTACAAAATGACATGGGACAAGGGATATGGGAATGTGATCGTGTGTATTTGAAATGAAAAGAACATCTACGATAACACCACCAATTTTTTTGATTTATCATAATAATGTGCTTTTTCAAACCATTAAATTCTATCTTTACTGCCTTTAGATTAATGTCTTTAGATTATTTAGATTTTTGCATGCGTACTAACGATTTCGTTTCCTTTGCAACGTTAAATCACTTATGAATGCGAATTATATTTGATTTGCTTATGCTTGCTTCTCTTTGTGAATAATGTAAATGAGAATTAATCGTTTTATGCTTAAGTATAATTGTGTATGCTGGCTGTAATTGAACAGGGGCATACCAAGTGAGATGAAATAGACCACAGCGACAAAAATGATTAAATTTATGCCTCAATATGCCAACAGGCTTAATTTAAACAGTCTATTTCTACGGATGAGATCAAATTTTCAAATTTACTTAATCGTAAAAGCCTTATTCTTGAATCAGCTGTTTTCTGCTTCTCCGCCTCTTAATTTGATTATGATGGGAAATGAAAACAGGGCTGCCTTTAATGTGGATATGTTACATGTTTATCAAGGGAGCTGGGTGGGCAAACCATAAGCAAAATGTCTCGGAAATATGGCCCCCTACTTTTTGCCAAAATGCAAAGAATTAGATTTTGCTTGAAGCAAACCTCCTTTTGTTTGGTTCTATCCCCTGCCCACTTTCTCAAGTTTATGTCATTCGTGTGCCCAGATTCATTACAGTGGCACGGTCACTGACCGGAGGAAGGTCCATGAAGAACAATAAAAGCTCCAATGATACACCCAAGCCACGCCCACCCTCTATTGTTTTGTGAGGAAGGTTTGCCTTCTGGGATGTTTTTGTCTGGAGGAAGGTTCAAAACTTTTCGTGTGAGAAGGAAGAACCGCAGGATAGGCTGTCCGCCGGATTCTGTGAATCTTGCAATGAGTATAATATAAATACGAGGATAAAATTCAGAAACAAAGCAAAACGGCGACGAGAATCCAACGTTGTGAAATAAATTTTTCAAAATAAATTAAATTGAATTGAAACCAGAAATATCTGCCCATTCAAACTGAAATCGTTTCATAATTCTGAGTGCCAAATGGCCACAAACTATTGAAATGCTTATAAAGAGTTTTAGGGATGTCACGCCTACCTCTAAATGGTAGAGACAGTCAACAATTTGAAGCAAAGTTATGGTAGGAGATAATCAGCGCTAATTCTTACCAACGCTAGAATTCTCACCTTTTGCTACCATTGATCAAACCGAATCAATCCATTTTCGTTGAGAGTTTGTGCCACATGAGGTCATTCACCACGAACAATATTTTTTTCCCTCCTGACTCGCAGCATTACTAAGAGAAAATGAAGTAAAGAGAAAATAGGTTTAGAATGTCACACACCGTGTGTTGTGAGGCTTTAGTTATCCTAACAGTAGTCCTTAAAGACCAAAGGTATAACTTCAGATAGCACAAACACAGAAAGTTTACGTAATTCTTTGAGCATTCTGAAAATTTAAACTTTACATGCTGTATATATATGCTTTAAGGCAAGAGGATATGTAATTAGAAAAACATGATTAAGTTTCATTAACGACATAAGATATGTAAAAAGTACGACGTGAAAACATGGGAAAGGAAAGGAAGGGCTGAATAGGTATGCTAAAACAAGCTTAATGACGCTAAACTAAGCAAAACATACGTAAATGCTATCTGTGATACAAGAAAAACGAAATAAACAACGATGAGTAAACTAAGCATTACGGTCTAACAATCCTGTAAAAATCCCGCACCTATAAACAAAACAAAGAAAAGGGATGCATGGATATGATGCAGACTTGCTTATGTGAGTGCCAGGGGAAGCCTACAATAATAATATGCAAAAAGAAGATCCCAAATAGATGAGACCACGGGTAAATGTAAGCAAGCTATGGAGAGGGGCCTTAGGGGTAAAAGGAACATACAAAGGAGGGTTTGTGACAAATGAATAGGCATTTAGATAAGGAGCAACTTTTGATGGAGGAACTGCGCTTCTCGGTAGCCTGAAAATGGCTTTGCACTCCCCCATTGCACTCCCGTTCAAGGATATAAGCTAATCTCAACCCACATAGCAGATAGTTCATGTTGGCGAACTGCTATTCCACTCCACTTCTCCCATTGATTTTTTATCCCTTCTGAATTCCGTCAATGGTCAATAAATATTGGAATAAGCTTTAATGAAAGAATGACCTGGTGAAATTCATGATAAAATGGTACAGAGAATAAGCAGGGAATAAGCTTACACTCTAGAACAAAATATCAAAGAGACCATAGCTGCTTTCATGGTTAGCTTTTGATTATCCAATATTTATAGATTTTTATCCTCAAACAAGGCCATTGCTTGTTGATTTATCTTGTGAACCGTGGGACAAATCTTTCCCACCAGAGACAACTATTTTTCCTTTGAAAACGCAAATTTAACCAGGTATTATGCTTCTAGCATAATTTTGCCACAATTTTTCATTTCGCAGTAAATCTAGCATAATTTGAAATCTAGCATTGTTTTGCTAAAAACCATAGTTTGTTTCCATTGGTATTTAAACACTTTTCATTCACATGTGTGACTATAATTTTGTGAGTGAATTGTCATGCCATCTTATCATTACATATCATTGTAAGACATCTTGATGACGTCTGTATTTAGAGGTTGTTGACTGGTTACTATCAAATTGGCAATGATGATTTTCAGTGATTGCTCTATGAGTGAAAAACTTGGTTTATAAGTCATAAAGTGCTCGATGCCGTTGTACAAGCTATTTGCTTGATGATACCATTATGTGTGAAAGTCAACTTCCAAAAGATCTTTCATTAGAGCTTCGAAGGGGCTTTAATTCTACTGAATCATACCTTTCTGTTCAGACTTACTTAAACTAAACCCATTCTTTAGAGCAATCATTTAACGCCTTGCAATGCTCATGACTGGAGAGACGGTTCTTTCAATGCGTCATTTTATATATATTTTCTGCTCAACAGAATTTTTTCAGTTTTTGGGATTTTGAGACAGACATTGTCTATGTAAGAAACTTGAGATGACTGGATGGGACCCTTGTCAGCTTGTTGCCCACTGCTCCCTCCTTAATTATTCGGACCAATTAAGATCTAGGTGTCTGCGAATCACTATATTATATGATATAATAGCACAGTTTATTTACATATAGTTGGCTATGAAATATCTAGTGCTAAAAGAGGCCAACGTTTCTCTATTTTCTTTTTTAATTTATTTATGAAAATTATTTTTAAAACTCATTTCCATACTTATTTGTCCTGGTTTTAGGAAGTTGGATAAGGTCGCTTTTTCTTAAGTTATATGGCAGCAGTTTTCTATTGGAGAACTTTCAGAGGAAGGAGAGGCTTACCGTAACAGTTTCACCGTAACGGATATCTTTATGGTATGCAACGAATATCAATGCATAACACTAGATTTTCTTTGAGCCCGAGGAAAATTAACTTGAATTTGTCCAGGTCTTCAACCATTTCCGTAGGTTTAAACCAGCTAATTGATCTTTTCATGTCATCTCCAATTCATTCGGCTACTTCATCTAAGGCTTGAAAGGTCATGGGTAAAAATGTTGAATAAGAAGGAGGCCAAGTACGGATCCCTGTGGAACGTCTTTTGATAATCGTTCCAGCTGCCAAAAGAACTGCCTATTTTGACCCTCTGCTTTATCTCAGCCAGGTTACTGTCTCTGAGAGGTCAGGCAAAAATCTCTAAACTTTGCAAAAACTTCCTGTTATAGCCTGAAATCATTCCAAATATTTCCAGGAAAAGCCTGTTTACGACATTTCAGACGATTCGAAATATTAGACAATTCTATTTCAGGATTATCGGATGGATTGATATAAACTGGACAGCCTCAGGATGCCAGTGGCTGCCTCCCTCTCACCTCACACCCCTCACTTCCCTCACAAAAGAGATACTTTTGACTGTTTTCTCACAATCTCAGTGCCATTTAAAGTATTATCATTTCCAACTCAAGGTTACAAAAGCTATGGTGATGGACATAATTTGACAGAAGAAAGAAAGCTTATTTGTTGGTTATTAACAGGTATATTTAAAGAGCCTATAAGCGCAACTAGATTGGATAAAGGCTGATTTCCACGAAGCGAATTTCGCACCGAACTCGCTTCGAAATTGACTTTGATTTCCATGAGACTGCGAATTAGCTGCGAAATTGTATAATAATTACCACCACAACTCAACTTTAAGGCGCCCATTTTCAGAACTGCACGCATGGCGAATGTTCCAAGATTGTTTTCTCACAAATCAAGCAAATTTACCATGCTTTGACTGGTTATTAGGTGCTGCGAAATATTTCGCCGGGAAAAAGTAGAACTCTTTTCTACTTACTTGCGAATTCGCTGCGAAATCAAAAATCAAAACTGCGCATGCCTTGATGCCTTTATCAGCGATTTCGCCGCGAATTCGCCTCGTGGAAATCAGACAGCATTTGTGTCACAACTTTTGACCAAATAACCTAGAGAACATTATCAGATACCTCCAGCAGTGGTATAGTGCTATCAAATAACAAAGGCGGCTCTTGCACAAAATGTTTTGAGCAACAATTGTAAAAGTAGAAATTTGCCAATTTTTGATATCAACAAGGGGGCTCAGCCCCCCCCCCCCCCCTGGGCCCCACTAGCACTACACCTCAGTATGCAAAATCAGCTAAAAGGATTAAGAATTGGCTAACTAAGATTTTGCCAAACTTTATGGGACAGGTCGAAATAACTGTAATCTGTTAGCAAACTTCAAATAATTTATTTGTCATGCGCACTGAGAAATATTTCTTGTTGTTCTTTCAGGTTATGTGGCCAGAAACCTTTAATTACAATTTCTAGAACGCCAAACTAAATAATTCGATTTATTTTCGTGTTATCGTATATCTTACGGACATCAGCTGCAAGAACAGGTTGTAAAGTCAAATTAGCAAAGTTTTATAGAGCAGACAGTCGATTTACAGGAAAATATTCTCCTTGTGGAATAGAGACCAAGGAAGGATGTACATTTGTGACCTAATCTGTTGGCACTCCTGGCTCTTTGCACAGTGGCTCCATGGTTATTGTTTAGATAAAACTTGGACTACACTAGCCTCAATGAAGAATTAGGTTTGAACTGCCTGTGTTTTCGTTCGTATCTACAGTAATCTCATAATTTGATAAAATAAATAGAAAACAGAGGGAAATTTTACATAATGCTTAACCTGCTGTTTCAGGACAATCGGTGTGTTTGAATTTGCAGAAGAGATAAGAAAGTCTGCGAACAATAGACGAATGCATGATACCAACATCATTGATAGAGCTCAAACTTTGAACAATTAAAGCTTTATTCGAGACCAAATACTGGAATTTCATTCGGTGTAGGGGAATCGATGCAGTAGTGTTGCTCTGAATTGGAGTGCGTCGCGAGTCAAGTGTGTTGTTTAACTTGCTAGATAATCACTGCTCTGAATTCGCGAAAGAAATATTTCGGAAATTTGTGGTCGTATGACGCATAATCCGTATTAAGGAAGTATCGCTTTATGGCAGCCTGGTGTAATTTGAAGTAGGTTAAAAGAAATATAGGAAGAAAACAATGAATTGAACGGCACGGGGTTTCGCCAACGAGTCATTCACATCAGCAACAAAAAATAAAGTTCATTAATCTTTGACCAGATATACGCCAACGGTGACATAACGGCTGAGGATATAAACAAGAGGTACAGCATCAAAGCATTGGCGTCAACATGACAAAGTCCCCCCAAAATAGAGAGTTTCCTTTGGGGACAACCTCGAGAGTCATCGATGAAGCTGAGTACCATCAAAGGAATGGGCGTCCTCATGGAAACTGGGGAGAAAAAGGTTTATCGCATGAAGAATTTGATGAAAGTGGATACGTTGGTAGTTTATTGGCGGCTGACATTGGCAATCATGCGAGTGCTCATATATTGCCTCCCGACAGCCCTTTGATAAACAAAGAAAATGGATATTCAAATGACTGGGAAATCCAAAACTTAAACATAAACTCCTCAAAAGAAAGCCCAAGGACAAACCAACAAGATGGTGTACATAATCTAGCAGGTAGCGCTGGATCGATTCACGGTTTTAGAAATGGAATTAACTTTTTACCTGATGTGCGTTCATTGTCGCTTTCAAGTAGCATTTGCAGCGACGGGTCATCGTTGGAAGGTGATATTACGAACGAACATACCCGTTTGACCGCTGTAATTAATAACATTGATCCAAAACGCCTGCATAACTATCTAAAAAGAAAACTGAAACAGAGAGACAATGGTACGATAGCGGCACTCGGAACATTATTACCAAAAAAGAAATTCAAAGGAGAAACACTGCACTGCGTACGTTGTCATAAGGAATATGACCCAAGGCATGGTGACAAAAAATGTGAACTATTCCATAGGAGAGATGATGTTATGAAAATCTCAGAAGACGAACTTGGGACTGATTTTGCATGTGAACGTTGTGGATCTGTATTCAGGCTGGATGGAAAATGGAAATATAAAGAGAGCTCCAATAAAAAGCATAAGTGTGGAGCGTGCTTCACTGGCGTACACACTGTGAGTACAGACGAAGTCCAATATGAACCCGAAGGCCTTTCAAAAACATGCGAAGATTATGGGTGTATTGTTTTTTACGTATGACAAAGCTTATCAGATAAAGTTTCCTTCTAATGCACAAGCTTGTTTTTGAATTTTTGAAGTGAATTCTACACAGTTCATTCTGACGTCAATGAATCCGTGAATAATGCAATGAATGTAACACGCAGCTCGAAGTGCCAATAGAAAGGATTATTATAGCCTGTTTGTTTGTACCATTTACTGCACTTTTTTGCATAGAATAGATACGGTTCAGCTTATGCCCGGAATGCAGAGTATGTCAAGTGCATACCCGATACCTTTTTCTAAAATTTTACTACACACCTGGTAAAGGGTGTGGCATATTGAGATCTGGGAGTGGAATGGGTATGTTCTATTTCTTAGAGCGAATGAAGAATCATGTTTTCTCAAGATCGACTTTTTATCTTGCATTTGTTTGAGAGGTTAAAATGAACTTTCACTTATGTCCATTTTCTTATCTTCGTCTATATCCTTGCGCTGTAGCATACAGCATGCAGTCCGGGCTTATGCCATGGTATAAGGAGAATAAACCCAGTCTAGTCGTATTTAGCAGGCTACACTGTTTCGGGGATTTTATGATCAATAGGGTTGGCTCTTTTGGCATCTGTGGTATACTTTTCTTAGAGTTGAAACGCCATAATCCAGAGCCTATCCGGAGACTCAACTGAAGCCACCTTTCGAACTCTGCCTGACATCAGCAATTTACGGTTCCTTGTGAAGTATGTCTTCGTGATTAAAAAATTTTAGCAATTTACGAAAACAGTCTGTGAAAAAATTTTACCAGGCAAGAATCTTTCTTTGAACTGCACAATGGCCAATTCATTTGCTTTCAAGAGGTTCTAATATGTTTACGCATGGTCAATCCAGAAGAGTATGTTTGATTTGTAGAAACTGTTTTAAGTTTCACTAGTGATTGTGGTGGGTAAATCTTTCTGCTGCATTATTTCATACCATCAAGAATGACCCTATAAAAACGATAAGCTAAAAAGATGAGATAAGCGTAGAGCAATTATCCTTATTTTTGATGTCTTCAGGAACAAGCCACCCTTTCAATGCTTATCAGCCAAATGCCCTTATTCAATTTTTTATCTTTTCACAATATATTAGTCCTGCAGTTGCCTTTCAGAAACGCTGGGAGCTATTTCTTTCCTGGTTTGAATATGATATGGTATTTTGATAGCCTTGGCTGCAACCAATATTTTGTTATTTGTTAATATCGTCTTGCGCAAGGGGCAGAGTCCAGTGTTTCTCTTCCGCCAGAAAATTTCTCCTAAAACACTCTTAGAAAAAAAAGAAAAACAGCGAAATTTGGGTGTGGCAATTGAGTTATTTTCACGTTTGTTTGCCTTCCTTTGTCGTTGACTGTGCTAATGCCATTCGTATTTAACATAATCTCGTCACGAAAAAGTTATATGCAATTAGTATTGTTTCTTACGATTTTGTTTCGAAAAGACAAGATAACAGTGACAAAAAGAAAAGGAAGCCAAATCTAACACTGTAGAGAAATTTAGCGAGCGGCGGTAGCAGGACATTACCACTCCAAAGTTACGTACAGAAAGATTTATATGAAGTGGAGATGGAGCTTTAGAGGGTAGAGTCAGTGCCGTTACTAGATGCTTTTGAATTTGAGAAGGAGGGGGGGAGGGAGGGGGGGGATTTGCACGATGCCCATTACAATCGGGCACAAGCAGTAGCTAGGTTGGATCAAAGCGTTGCAAATGACATATTTAAAGCTAATAAACAAATTACTATACTTACTTCATTTGTTTATTAGAGGTTGGTGCCACCACTGGCTTACTAGATTAAAGGTGATTAAAAACGGGTTTGTGATCTGAAAGGTAGACAATAGACAGGATATGGGGCGTAGAAAGGGAGCCTGTACCACTGGCAGGAAATGTCTTACATGAAGATGGAGCCCCAATTACTATGCGTTTCCACCTTGAATTTCTAGCTCGATGTTTAGCCGTAGGGGACTGTTCTTTTTCTGAATGCGCATAAAAAGAATTAACAACACGGGTGAAGTGAACGAGACAATTCTGGTAACTCGAAACGAGAAGCAACGGTTTCTTTATGAATGTGTTCTCTCCGTTTATCACAATCTCTGTTTCACATTAAAGAGCCCAATTTGTTGCCCTGCCAAAGAAGAGCCGATGGAAAGTATCATAAATTTCTGCCAGCAAATTATCACAAATAAGACAAAAGCAGTGTAGTTCAATGAATTGGATGTCAAATCGTTGGAAAGAGAAAATAAATTTAAATCCGGTCTCACGTTGCTATGGTTTGTACTAAACATGCCTTCGCACAAACGTGTTTACAAAATAAATCTTGAATTACTGAAAGCCAACAAGAGAACAAAATGGGTTCATCCTCTCTTTCAAATCTTTAAGCTGGCCTCCAACACAATAAATGGAAATTTCTTTAAAACAAGATGATCCCCTCGTGCCTTATTGGCTCTTTCTACCTTAAGCCGTTTAGTACGATTATAATTTAAGTCGAAACTTTCTACACTTTTGACGAAAATTGGATTTCATCATTTCATATTCATCGTTTGAAAATTGGCGAGGCTTAAAACGACAGTCAATTCTTTTGCCTAATTTGCGCAATAAATATGAGAAAGCCACGGCGCCTTTGGTTATTTGCTTTGCTAGCTATGTAGAGCCTGTATCCATAGTCCTTTCAATAGACTATGCTGTATCCCAGACCCCTAAACGAAAAGGTTAAAAGCTTGAAACTATTTCTTTTAGGGCCTGGGTCACAGACTAGCTACGTAGCATCTGCTCCACGTGTATATTCTTGTACCCTGGGTACAAGACGCAATAAAGTGATCGGGTACCCAGGGTAGTATTCTTAGTCCTATATAGTCTATAGTAAATACATTGATACAGAGGGCCTCCTCTTTTTATGGTTTAGATCGTGTATTGTGTCGAGGGGGGGGGGGGGGGGGTATTTTATCGGCAAACGTTTTGAATATGATGATTATGATAGTTGATGATGGTTATGATGTTGCATGTCATTACTTTTCCTGCACCACCAAGTAAGAGGCTAATAATTAAAACATGTTCACATGAATGTTTTCATTTAAGAATCCATTTCTATTCATCCATATTAGAGCAAATTTGTGGCAACTTCAGCTGGGGAATTTTCCTTTTCTCCATTTTCTTTCTCAACATATTCATCGAATCTAATACGTTGGCCTAATATTACTCCTAGTAATTTAACACTTTTACTTTCTTTGATAGTACAATCATTAACTTGAATTCCAGATTCCTCTAAATTGGATCGCTCTGCTTTGAAAGCTGGAAGTTCGCTTTTATTACCGTCGAAAACCATGCTTTAAGTTGATATGTCAAAATTCGATGTATTATTTATTCTAATCAGGCTCGGCAAACAAATGTCACTAAGTGTCTCGCTTACTTGTGAACTCACTTTAAACGATTAGAGAGAAAAGAATTCATCCTGCTAAGATAACATTTGTCAATATTTATTTGTTGAGATCAGGAACGCCTGCACAAGTTAGGGCAGGAGGGGCAGTGTTGGTGCTGAGGACAAATCGTAGTAATCTTCTACTAACATAATCGACGGTGGGGTAACATGATAAAATATTAACATGGATATGTGCCACCTAAAGAGAAAATGTTGACGAAATAATCCATACATAAAAATGGGTATTAAATGGCCTTGTCACTATTAACAGTACTTGGTTTTTATAAAGATCATTGCTGTTATAAATGGGGTGGTTGTAAAATAGGATTGCCCGCTAAGTTTTAATACTGATTTATTCTCCTTAGGTTCCTGGAGTACTCCTGAGAGAACAAGTCTTTCGTTAATCATCTATCATCTTCTCTTGTGACCCATCTTGTCACAGACAGACTTTTCAACCTTTGCATTTTTGTGCTGGTGTTATCCTCTTTCTAATATTTTCTAATAGAAATTAACAAAACTAGAGTCGTCAAAGTGGTCATCAATCATCGATAAGATTCTATAATATTTTCTTATGTTTCAGGGCACTTCTTGCCCCCTCTGCCCCTCTACCCCCCCCCTCCCGGTGTAGGCGCCCTGGCTGAAATACCTATGTCATATAAGTAACTATGTTCTTATACCTCGTTTTCATGGGAAATGAATAACTGGGTCGGGTTTGGGGACCCGATCCTCAGTATGCGTTTACGCGGCCTAAGTTGAAAGAGGACTCCAATCAATTTGGGCGTGCACCTTATTAACATATTAAGCACACTGGGAAAATTCAGCTAGGTAATGAAAAAAAATGTTGAATATTGAATAGATGACATAAAATCATCGGTAATATTATTGAAGTAAACCTACAAACAGTCTTCTTCTTCATTGTGGCTTTCAATATGACACAATCCTCAATTTTTCTCTTCAGAACGGCAAAGAAGGCTTTCCCGCCATCAGACGACCAAAACACTTGAGAGTAGGGCATCAAAATTAAAATTGGTTGGGCTATCTTTTCGTTAGTTTCTTCATTCGTTGTTTGGCTGTCTCTGCGCATGCGTAAATTACTGGCCTTGAACAGTGGAACAGACAGATCTTGCGCTATGTAAAGCAGCATGAACAAAGAGGTCAACTGCTACAGGCAACTTTGAAATATTATACAATGAACATTACACTACACCATAAGTATTAAACAGCATCAATACAAATCTCAAATTCTTGAAAAATAAGTTATAACCACAAACATGAAATCTCTGGAAGAGTAACTTGTGAAATTAATTTGTACTTGAGTGCAAATTGTGTCAATATTGTGACAACCCACAACTAAATATTTACCTAAAATCCTAGACCAACACAATATGTACTTTTTTTACTTATTTTCTGCGCACCATTGAAATTACTTTCTAAACAAAGGATTTTAAATACAAGAGTGGCGATAAGAGAGGAGTGCTCGTGAGCTGAGTTGGCTCCCTTTGACAACCCATCTCGGCCTCGGCAACAACGCTAATCTTTATTGATTTCCAATAAACGTTTTCTTCGTTTGGCAAGCAGATGAAAAAATAAATTACTAGAAATTTCGGGCTATCAGTTTCTTTATGGGAGGTTGGGCCTAAATTCTCTCGGCAAACTTGTATATTTTTCTTCGGAAGTGACTTGGATTAAGAAGATCGGTAACTTCAACGTTGTCTTTAGCGCCACCCCCGTTTAAACACTACGAGAGTCATTTGGTAAAATATCTTACCAACTAAAAAAATTTAAGAAATCAATTTTAATATCCCGTTAATAGTCTGAAAAATATCCGCCTCGTTAAATAAATCTATTTCAAGAAATAGTGGAACCTTAATTAAAGGATTGATATCCTAAATAAAACTTCCGGATGACCGTAAAAGATCTTTGATTTGAAATAAGTTACTGTATATAAAGGTAGTGAATTTTCATGACACTAGTGAACGTAGACACTTGGAAGATTCTGGACGCTTAGAAAGTGTCAGACGTGGTATAAAAATTCGGCACAGAGTTATGGTCTTGCAACAGTCTAAAAATTATTGAATAGCGACATTTCGTAAATTTGCACCACCCGAGGGGTATTAAATGACCTTAACAAATATGCTTGAAAAAAAGGGGAACGTGCTTTGCTGTGTATATGGGCTAAAGCGCTGAAGATAAAGTGCAGGTTGACTAGTATACTCTAGTTGAAATTATTTCCTTGTTTAAACAACACTTCTTTTAAAAATACGATAAGCAGCAACGCAACAACCTGGATCCTGTAAGAATAAACTACAAACAGCGCCTGTACAACTTAGAAAATAAATGCAAAAGTTCGTTTCTGCCTTCACTACTCTAGGCAAATTCTAAAAGGGTCTGGGGGAGAGGGCAAATATCTGATGGAGTTTTTTTTATCGATGATACCTGAGCTGCAACGACAGGAAAGGCCCTGATTGATGAATAAACAATGCCATTTCAGCTGGCATAAATTGCGTACCAATTAACTACAAATAATTACAACACGCAGACGACGTAACCTTATCAGGATAGTTCTCAATAAAATTGTTGGTATAAAAAATAGCAACTTCCCCATAACACGAATCTGCTTTACTAAGAGGGGTTGCTTTGTATAAGATGTGAGTGTGTTAAAAGCCCTTCCAAAGTAAATTATTGTTCCAGATTAGTTCGAACTACAATTAAACATCGAAGCATTGCTAGATATAGGATGCGACTTAAACTAAGAGTCGTTAAGGTCGAACAACAATGTCCTTTTACGACAAATGGCAGCATTTTGAACTGGAAAAATGCTTGAGAACATTTAACCTGACGCTCAAACCCAGCGGTTCATATTTTCTGAATTATCCCAGAAGCATGAGTTGTGGATGGTGCTAGTGCTTGGAAAGACTATATGCAACCATTGCAGAGTGCAACCTGCCCTTTTATATAGTCCCTACAAGGGCAGAGTCTTGAAAAGGTTGGGCTGTTTGCAGTACAACTAAACATGAGTTTCTCGTCTTGTAACGTACAGACGTTGCCTTGAGAGTTTACAGCAGGTGCCACAAAAGAAGCTTTTCGATCGGTTGATGTGCAGCCTGTGTGGTGTTTCAACATTTGTTCGGTGTTTATCGAAGCAAAATATTTTGGTTCGCAAATCATACCTAAAATGATTAAAATGTAACGATGAGTCAATGAATGTGCGATTATTTGATAATTAGCTTCTTTAAGAAAAAATGTTGCATTCTGAAAATATTTTTTTGAATATTTCTTTCACATCCACAGAAAGGGGAAAATCTGAGAGGAAAGAATACGGGGATAAATTTAGCAAGAGTGAACAGCAATGAGAAAGAGTGTCGAAGGCGAGTCACATAAAAAGGGAGAATTATTGTATTCTCGTAATTGTATCTTGATTAATAATATTTAGTATCATTATATATGATTTTTTATTATATCATACTGTATAACTCTATTCTATTTAATTTTGTTACTTAAATTGTGTCAATTTCATTATTTTTGTTAACTAAATAGGGTGCTGGGCTCGAAAATTGTCTCGATTTTCTCAGCATCCTAGGCAACTATACTAATAAAAGAGTTGTTATTTTAATTATTTTATACATAATTAATCAATTATCATAATAAATTGTAAATCAAAATTGTTGTTGCTGAATTACATGAATTTGAATTTGAATTCGTCAATAAATTGAAAGTGTGATTTCGTTAGAATCAAAATAGGATTTTGTGTCTGAGATGGTAAATACGGGCGACCCAGGGTTAGAAACTGTCCGGTCTATTAGAGATGGGGCGGGGGGGGGGGACACTGCTAGATGTGCTGATAATCATGAATGAATAAATCAGAATTAACTAAGTGTCCTATCGATACGTGGCCTAGGATCTCTTTTGACGGCACAAATAAATGTAAGATAGAAAATAAAAATGTAATGTTCCTTACCTTGATTTTCACAAACTTCTTTGCACGATAAATTGTCTCGACCAGCGAGAACTTTTCGATTTCGCAATGGGGGCCAGTTATTTTGCACGCAAAAATCTTGATACTTTGTTAACGCATACAGCCTTTCCAAAGTCCCCTCAAAAGTGAATTCGTATGGAAGAGTTGGTTTTATCTGTTAAAAAGAATTGTACCACGCTAAGCCAACATAGTATCAAGTATTTGAAGATCAACAGATGCATCAGAAAATGAAAGCAGTTCATCGAATGTATTGTATTTATTCCGCCAAACCTCATCCTTCCCTCCTTCCCTCCAATAATGACCAATATTTAAGATATTTCCTTTATAACAAAGTAAAGATTCTGATGCAACAGATACCTCGCCTGCCTCGCAACCGAGATACTAACTTCGGTCCCATGTGAATGATACAAACACAAGATATTTTGTACTACACCAACAACAGACATGTAAATTCAAAAAACAACAAATCTCATACATCAGTTAAGAGGTTTTATTTATTTAGATGAGGATAGTTCGGGTGAAATATATAGTATGAATGCAGGACCTATTTAAAAACTTTTACCAAGGCTAAAACATTGTTCATTAATAGCATTTGATTAATATAATATTTTACAACACACTTTCCAACACAGTCGTATTTTTTGCATTCAACTTCAGCTTGAGGCATCAGCTCTTAAAAAATCAGTTAATTGTCTACTCTACCTTCGATGAGAAAATGTATAACGATTTATTGGATCCAGTTTTTAAATCTAACGTTCTAGTTTCTTGACATCTTCGGCAAGTTTGAAAGACTTAATCGACAAGTTCAAAGTTTTTTTAATCTTCAATTTCATTTCTTTCATTAATCAACTGATTGTTTTATATATGTAATTATTAATTATTCATTTTTAATTGCTTTTCATTCTAAATTTGTGTAAAGTAGGCCTAAATTAGCTTGTACATAAATTGTACATAGAGAACCATATTATACCCGCCTACTGTAAATAAATTGATTATTATAAAGACTATTCTAGTTGTAAATACGACATTTAGGCCTTAAAAATGGAACTTACCGAGTTATTTTTGATAAATTTCAAAGCAACCTCAAGCTCAGTCCTGTTGTCCAAATTTACTGTTTGCACAAAAGGCTTTCCAATAAAACGAGCGGCATAAGGATGCTGCGAGTCTAACTTACGGAACATAGGCTTCGATTTGAAAAACTGAGAATTCTCTCGATCTGTTGAAATATAAAATTAACTGAGTCAATCCTACTAAACTGTAAGGTTTTCAACGCTTACCAACAAAAATCTAAGGGATCTAGGGAATCGTGGATAGTGGTAGTGACTTAAAGCCAGTATTTTGCATGGGTAAGCAAAAGCAGCATATTTACATATTGGGCATAAAGTTAGACAAGGCTTTACAAATTTGATGAGGACTAATTCCGAGCCTGAACAAAAGCAAGGAAATATTATCCGATAACATTTAACAAAGAGAATACTTTGTAATCTTAGGGCAATGAGATCAGGCTTTAATAGAATTTTGATAAAACTGGGCAATTACATCAAGTTTACCTTTATTTGGATAAGATCCATAGAAAATTTTATGGGGCATCTAAGAAGGGGTGCTTCTCTATGATTAAAAGCAAATGAAATATCGAGGCAGTGGATAAATTTTCTTGCTAAAAGTAAAGAAAAATGATGAATGTGGCAATGTTTAATTGCTTGAGTTTTCATGTTGATATGTCTTTTGCTAGTTGAAGAATAAAAAGAAAACAGTACCGTATGTTAATCACATAAAACTTCCCTTCAACTTTTGCTGAATCCGCTTCTAAGCTTAATATTCTGATTTTGATTAAAAGTTTTTATTTATTGATTGATCGCTTCAGCAAAAAGGAGGATTTTCAATAGTGTAATAGCGAACTCACTCAACGGGGGTATAAGCTTCGCGTTGATGAAGAAACATCCATTTGCAATGGCTTCCAAGGGGGCGGGTCCTTCGAAAGGAAATCCCATGCCGACAAAGACCTGAGGAATGAAATATAGATTCTTTAAAGGCTAAATCACTGTTGAATTGAATTGACAGCGGTTCAAAAAATTTTCAAAAAAGAAATTAAGCCTTAAAGCAGCTATCTACTTGTAAAATCTAAACTAATATTTGAAGTGTAGATAAACTTTCAATTTAATACGAAATTCATGTCAAAAATATGTAGAGGAGAACGTACACAAAATAGGCGACAAACAAATGGCAGAAATGTCTGAAAATTCCTTAAAGAAAGTCTTTAGACTAGAAGAGTGTCAGCGAAAAACTTTAGCATGTCTACTAATGGGTGATTTTTAAAAGCATTTTCAACATTGTACAACCAAAAAAATTTCGCATAACAGCTTAAGGTCGCGGAAGTGATAAAAACAGATTGTACCTTGGCAGACTTGAGAAGGGTCATTAAATCTTTGCGCTGCAACACACCATGATTTTTTATATATGAAGGAATGGTAAATTTTCCTTGTCCGTTGGTGCCAACCGTTGCGTGTACTTCGAAGTATTCACTAACAATATCAAGAAAGCGGGTCTTTTGCACATTCTGTGGAATAAAATAAAACAGACTGTAAATTATGATCTTTATAGCAAAAAAATCTGAATCGCTAGCCTATTTGCTATTGCATGCAAACCCATTTACCATTTAGTTAGATTGCGAAACAAATAACGCTTCGATAACATAGATAACACAAGAATGATGACGCAACAACAACTATGCAACCGACCTGCCACATTGTTCGGTGCTTTCCATAAACCAGTGCGATTGGCTTCTTCTCTATCACTTGATTTTCGTTGACTTTTGGACCCACGACGAATCCAAGGAAAGTGTTATCAGGACTGTGTGCTACAAAACAAAATTAAAAACTTTTACAAGTTATGAGGGATTTGCAAGAAAGAAGTTGTGTTATACAGAATCATGATTTGAAATTTTAGTGTCAAGCAGTGTTATGCAGGGTAATAGATAACAGAAATGTTAACTCCTTTTCTCTCCAAAACAATGTTTGTAGAGTGTGAAATATCTTACAAGTCGCACAAAAAGCAATCTTCAATAGCAAACCAAAATTGGTTACAAGATTCCCCCCCCCCCACCCCACTGGGAAAGAATTGGAGGCTGAATCCGCCCTTTGGTCTTCTGAGACTTTTGACAAACATTGTACGTGGGGCACGTGTTCTTATATGCAGCATTTTATACAGCCTACATGTTGAGCGTGATACAGCATTTTGGGCCTAATTCTTTTGCTATAAGAAGCGTCGCTTTTGGGAGTACATTTTATACTCAAAACCAAGATGTTATCTAGGAATTTTGGAAACAAGGACTTATAAAAGAGATGAACTCTTACGGAACATCGTATTGAACTGCTTTAGCTGCAGGTCATGGCTGCCAAACGACGTCTTTAAGGCCTTGTCAGTCAAATGATTAAACTGAGCCTCGGTTCCAAACGAATCAACAATACGAAGTCGACACCTAGGAAGGAGAAATATTAATGAAAGTCAAGCAAAAAAAGATAGAGAAGCGCAAGTCGTGGCAGAATAGATGAAGTTGAACCATTACAGAATAGACGGTAATAGGTTGTAACAACGTCACAACGAAGCACTGTAAATAAAATGCAAGCCAAAGAAACTAAAGCAAAATACAGCAAAAGGCCTTCGGAATGCAACTCTGAAATTCGTCGATTCTTGCCATTCGATAACTGTCCTTTTTGTAAAAATATGTTTGCTTAGTTCAATAACCATATCAATCACTGTGTAAAAAGGAAACGCAGAGGCGTAAGCAAAAACGATCTCAAAATAAGGCTTATGGCCAATTATCTTATGAAGCTGCGCTGTCTAAATGAACATCCACCTATCAGTTCGCTCTCTACATGCTGGATTAGAGAAGGCTTGCATATACAGCCACTTGTAGTGTCCCCAAAATAGCATCTAGTTATTCATATCTTTTTTTTAATGAAATGGATGCTTACTTCATTTGTTCGATATTTCCAAGTAGCTGTTTGACGAGAAGAAGGCCAATATAGTCCAGGTAGATGATATCAAAATGTAACGGACTTGTGCTAGGACAGTATGAGCTTGCCGAGGCCCCCAGAAGCCTGAAATCAAAACAACATACATCAGAATCAAAGATAATTATCACATACTTCTTCCTAAAAACGTCGGCGCTCACAAATTTTAGAGTCATCAGGGCACGTTCATATCATAAAAAATGTCCCATTTTCCCCTTAACCACATATTGTCAAGACACACCCCTAATACAAGGCACAAATGGGTCATCAAAACACGACATTTAGAAAAGAATCTAATGAAAGAACCTTTGAAAAGAATTTAAAATAAGACCATAAAAAGTCTAACTTTTAAGAAAGTAGGTTCTTCTTTGCAGGATATACTAATCACCTTATGACAAATGGTTAGCATTTAGATCAGTCTTTGATGGGAAAAGTTTTTCATTTCCGTGCTATTCGTACTGCAGACTACACGAAGTTATCAAAGAAATTATCTCAATGGTAATAACTTAGAGCAAATTGATATAAATCAGCGCACACCTTTTGATTTGGTTTTTCTCAACAGACACTTTGATATCGTGGCCAAGCAGAAAGCTAGAGGCAATCAGGTCACTCCATTGCACAAGCTCACCCAAAGGTCCTCCAGAGGCTGCATTTTCGCCAAAGTGATACACTCCTTCATCCGCAAGCAGTCCAATGAAAATTAGAATCTTCAAACAAAGAGAATGATACGTGATTTAGAAAAGCAAGTGTTCTGCAGTAGGTATCAAGCTATTTGATTAACTATCATTGCATAAATTTTTTCGGTGGAGCTAATGTGTAAAACATCAAAACATAGAACATCCTGAATACAGGATATTCTTACGGTGGCTTCGAAAAAACCCTTGAAATATTATAAGGGTGCAAAAATTATGACCGTGCATTGGAAGTAGAGATGGAATCGCTAAAGTCAGTGCTCTAAGCGAATTTCACGTGACTATATACGGTGCTTTACTTGAAGACAGAAGTTTATTTTGATACTAAGCTTATATCAAATTCAGTTGCATTTATAGAAGTTCAGTTAAAAATTGAGATGCAAAAATGGATGGAGTTCTACACAGCCCGAGAAGCAAAAAATAAATATAAATCATTTACGTTATAATAATTTAGACTCTGAAATCACTTGGTGCAAATAACAACTCTACTAAACCTCTCATTCCCCCAGTTCTATGTCAGGCAGTTATCTTATACCTAAGTACAGAACTGGACTTGAGAAAATATACCGAAAAAAAACGTGAGCGAGTGACACGGCTTTGGGCTCAGATTTGAAAATGTGATCTGGTAACTCAGTTGGTGAGTAACAACGTGCAGTGTTGCTGCTCGATGGTTCGAGTCTGTCGCACGGTTGGATTGTTGAAAATTGAATGGAATTGTTGGGGAGACGAAAGAGCGAACATCTTAAAATATGTAAGGCAACCCTTCGTCCTGTCGTCAAACTGCATGCAATTATGATTTCCTTCCATGCACATTTTCTTTGATTCTAGGATGGAGGGTTGCCTCACTCACCAAAAGATTTTACTGTTTGTCTCTCAACAAGAAAGAGTTTCGCATGCAGTGCGATCTGCAGCTACAGAGTTTAATAATTACAGGGAAAAGACGAAAATTGGTGAACACGCGAGGTTACGTAATTTGGATTAAAAAAGATGCAAATCTGTTGTCATATGAAACCAGAATCTTAAAATATACATCATTTTGGGGCATTTGCGCTTAAAATTAAGCTCTTTTCTTCTAAATCATGTTATTATCTTTCTGAGACAGTGGTTTTTGTTTTACACTCACAGTACCACAAATGATTAACCTCCAAGATAAAATGTTACTTTCGTGGCGATTAACATCGGAAATAAACGCGCTTATACGAAAATACATCTGCTCAGGGATCTTCCTTGATTACATTAAAACAAAACAAAGGGAAGAACGACCAATTATACGATGACAAAGATGTGAAGAAATACCACGATTAAAAGCTAAAAATTTCCAGAAATACAGTAAAATGTAGTTCTTTATTTCTAAACTTGAAATTGGGTGTAAAGTGAAAGCATTGATAAAAGAAAGCGTTTTACCATCAGACAATCTCCAGGACCAAAGGAAGTAATTAGTTAAAGGGGGAATGTAAATTCAGCTGAAACCAAAATTCAAAATAATAAGTAAAATGAACGTTACAAGTTACATAATTTTACCTTCTTGAAATAAATTATATAACGCAAGTTACTTCATAAATAAATAATGTGGCGACTAATGGTAAACCTCTTTACCCGTTCTAATAACACATTTGTGGCATATAGAGCATTTAATGTCGTCATGGACACCCCAAAACAAACTATCTTTTATTCCAGAAAAAGATTTGTGTTTTGCAGCCTTTCTAAATCTAAAGAATATTTACATAAATCGAAATTGCCTACCCTTTTTCTAGGATAACTTTTCAACGGTCGCTTTTTCTCAAGTTCAGCACGTGCATTGAGCCAATTTTGCCACGTATAAGTCAGCCTGGTTTTGATCCAGCTGTACTTGTGTTTGTTTGGATCTTCCAGTTTTGCTAGCAAATCTCGGATGCCTTTTTGCTCTAAATTCTACGAACAAATCATCGGTGTTAGAAGATAATCAATTATCAAAACAATACTTACATTTGAATAACTTCACACTCTTGCATAGCAATGAAGCAAAAATAAACAAAATTTTAGTTCTTTACAAAAAGTTTCACAAAATTAAATGTCAATTTAAATTTAGGAACTAAAACCCTTTTAAACTGCAGGACTGGTCCTTAATGGCTAGATCAATCATTAAGCAAGTTTGCCTTCGGAAGCCAAGGAAGCTCGCAATCTCTATAACTTCCTTCAAATATCCAGGATTCGAAAGGGGCCTAAAGCAGTCGAAACAAAATCAAATTGTGCTACAAAATTATATTTAAAAAAGAATCAACGCAAACGGTAAAGAAAATAAGAATGAAAACTTAGTGCCTATGCTGTAAAGTTTTAAGCTCGATTGACTCCACGCCGTGTCTATGAAACCGGACAACGTCTTTTTGATATTGTATAAGTACTTGGTAGAGCATACTGTACAGGATTTGAAGAGTGATACAGGGACTAATGTGTTATTAGTGATAACAGTGTTATCCATTAAGGTTGAAGGGGAAAACAGGCAATTAAAACTTCCGTTTAACTGGCAGATATCACTAAAGATTAATAAATTAGTGCTTTGATACTTACTGGCTGCTCTTCAACCTTAAGTGGGACAGTTGGGGTCGGACGACGGGATCTGCCTGGTAGCAAGGGACACCAGTGCTCAACCTGAAAAATAGTCATTCGTTCAAATTTATAAACTAGGGAACGAGCAGCCTATATATAAAATAAATGACGGGAAATTTCTGACAAAACAGAACATAAGTGGTAATGTCACTTTGTTTACAAAAAAGAGCAATAAATTTAAAAAGAAATAACACTATCAAAACATTTAGGGAGATAAATGCTATGAAAAGGTTATCAAGAATATTTCCAAAGAGTAAAGCCACATAAGTGATATCTCTCAAGCACATAGCTCATTTCAAAATCTCTATTTCAATTCTACTGATTCAGAGGTTAGTCTCCAGAATTCCAGCCTTTGGTTCTTGAAAGGTAATCTTTTTAAATGTACGTTGTTACAATGGCTGAATAAAGATTTTTAAAATAGTGCACAAGATTTCCCAAAAGATGCAAAAAGAGTCAGTTGTGCATCCTCTATAGAAAGCTGTATTTAACTTACCTCACTTAGGTATATTATAAAAGAGCAAATTGAACCATTCACGCCGTAATCTGCATAGCAGCGATCTAATTTCCAAGAATTTCGCATCCACTGCAAAGAGAAAATTCGAACAATATTGATTAAATACAATAAGCTTCACAATATCAAAAAATATCGCGTAATAAAATTAACTTTGTATTTCGGAATTCAACAAAAACCTTTTATACTTACGGCGATTTTTTCTGCACAGCTCGGAAAGGAGGGATCTTTTGGGATTTGGCATGAGAGTTTTTCCTCTTTTTTTCGACCGTCCAGAAGGGGGCACCAGTCTTCAACCTGTGAGAAATTTGTGATTTTATCGGACAGATAGAACGGACGGACAGTTAGACGATCAGATAAAAAATATATGAAAATTCAGCGAATTAATAACGTAATCGACAATTTGTGAAACACTTCACAGAGGATTTGCTTGGTTTTTTTTAATTTTTCAACTGTAAATATTCTGATTTATTTGTAAGAAACATAATCACAGCCTTCTAGATTTGCGCAGTTCTTAAGTAAACGACATAGAAAGATTGTTCAATTTCAAATCAAGGACTTTCTCAACATTGTGGACGTTCTACGTTGGAGTAGATGAAAATGTTATGATATGTTGCTCATTATCGGATTCGAGAAGGAATGTAATTCATCCCGAGTACTTTCTGCGCGTGGGAAGACTCTTTTGCTAACAAATTTAGGATCAATCTTTTGGTGGTACAAAACTTGAAAATGGCTTTGAAAAAAGCAAACATTTAGTAAACTAAAGCTTTTCGTCTGACACTCTTCAGAGTTTAAAACGTCAGAACATAGACCGAAAACTCTACGCTAGGAAATATATATGCCCAGTTGTGGATCGAAATAGGCCAATCAGACTCTGAAGAGAAGAGACGAAAAGCTTTAGTTTACTAAATGTTTGCTTTTTTCAAAGCCATTTTCAAATTTAGGATCGCGATTTACCTCACTTAAAAAATGAACAAACGAGCAGACACTGCCATCAACACCCCGGCTTGCATAATATGGGTCGGACTTCCAGTATTGTTTCATCCACTGAAAAGAACGAATGCACAATTATCAATTATGAATAAGGAAATCAACCGCACAGAGCTGTACTTTGCAAATTTTGCTCAACAACAAGACCATTTTTCTACATTCGAAAAACGAGTGTGGCGATTGAAGGACCATAAACGTGTAAAAAACCTAATTATTCAGAAGATTTAATAAAATGCCTAATCCTAAAACAAGGCGAAAATAGAATGCGCTTACCGCTACTTTAGCAGTACAATGTGGGTAGGCGTGATCATTGGGAATGACGCACTCTTGATTGATTGCTTTCTGTCTCTCCCCACGTCCCAGAGGCACTTTCCTTTTTATAAAGGTTTTAGGGCAGAAGCTTTCGACCTAAAAAGAACAATACAATGAGACTTTGTAAATATGAAAATGTATTACCTTAAATAACTGCAGCGTTAGGAAAAGTTGAATGAAAACTTTTATTTTGAGTTTTATTTGGGTTGGATCCAGCAATGTGATGTGTCCTCGTTTACAGGTCGCATGGAAATGCAAGTTAGTATTACTGATTAAAAAAAGGTGAAAATGATTGAAAAACAAACTTTTGGATCATTGTAACAAGGAGATTTTAAAAGCAACTTAGCGAAGAATTAGGCAACCGAAGCAAACGTCTGCATTTCTACTTCCTAAAACTTGGCATTTAAAGCGAGACTGAATATGAAATGCCTGGTTTTGTCTTGGAGGGGGATGGGGGAGGGGGTTGTATTTCACAACTTAACGAAAATAAATGCCACTAGCAGAAGCAATGAGTTAAATGGTAGAATTGTGAATATCATTACTAAACATGAGTTCATGTTGCATTTGAAAAACAGTCCAGGTATATATAAGATAAATATGGTCAGAGAAATAAGCGTGTAACACTCGAGTAGACTGGACGGGGGAAAACGATACAGAAAGTATTCCACTATAAAAGCAATGATTTGGCCTACCACTTCAGTTCAAATACTTAAATTTGAAAAAAAAAGTTTGCTTCTTGTGATACTAAGTGGTATGCCTTTTTTACATTATTAAGCACCCTTCCTAAAGATAAAAACATTGAGTACATACCTCACTAAGATAAGTCAAGAAGCTGCATAACGAGCCGTTGACACCACGGTTTTTGTATTTCGGGTCGGTCTGCCAGTTTTCTTTCAGCCACTTGAAAAGATAGGGAAAGCAGTTACGATCAATAAACATAGGATAGGTGGGTTGCTGACTCATTGGTTGGCGTCGCGGGCACAGATGCAAGGGTCTAGGGTTCAAGTCATTGCAATGACCAGACTTTCTCTTAGGGCGTGGAGAGCTAGTTCACTGCTATTCCAGGTGTAGGAATCACAAAGTGTCGTCACACAGGAGAAAGTACCAAGACACTGCTCGATAAGCAGGGCTTTTAAGTGTCCTAAAACCTACCTTTGGATGGTAGGAACAGATCCAAATTCAAAACACTAATAAGGAAAACGCGCATTTTCAACAAGTTTAAATATAAAACTAACAGGTAAAATTGTTGAAAATTTCGTCATTCAATGCTGTAGCATAACTATAAATGTTCTGCAAAGTCAGCCTTGAATGTCATAGCAGCCGCGTTAAGACAAATGGAAATGGGACAGAAAGAGAGGGATAAAGCAATACCGTTTGAAATCTGCAGTACAGCTAAGAGCTAGGATTCAGCAGCAACAATGACAGAGTAGCATAAAGGGTTTGATAAAAAGGCAAAACCACCACATAACGCTTAAGTTAACATTTATCAATAATTTATTAGCATTGGTTTATTAACAAAATATGGAAATACACACGAGCTTCTAGAAACAAGAGAGCTTTTATAAAAACAACCCATGTTACTTGAATTTCAACATCATTTGCAAAATAACATTTCCTTCATCAAAAACCTTTGCCAGGTGTGCTAGAACTTGCTTACATATGTTTGCCGCAGAAATGGCATTACGAAGAAATGAATAGACTAAACACATTCGTTTTTTTCCCACCATTTGAAATCCATGGAAAATCAAGAAAAATTGTCAAAATATTAATGATTTACAACTATTTGAAATCCGTGTTTTTAAGACTCAGGTAATGCGAGGGACAAATCTATTAAAAATAGACAAAATATTCATGATTCACCACAATTTGAAATCCGTGCAATGAGATTCAGGTAATTTGTCAATATTTGGCGCTTAATACGGCATGAAGGGCTAAATCTGAATTTTTTAACTTTAGATAGTGGAAAATGTTTAGATACAAAAAAAGCAAAACTATATTGGTGTAAAGCAAAAGTTTAATTCTATTCATTTCAAAGATTTCAAAGCTTTCATTAAATCAAGACGGTAGTATGATGACTTATTTTAGGAGTAGCCAGGTGATGTCAATAAAACAATTCCTGTAAACATTATTGAGCAAATAATAACAACATAGAATTGGACTTGTAAATAGATCATATCTCAAAGATCATATCAAATAACGTACCGACACTTTCTGGACACAGTTTGGGAAATTTTGTTCAAAAGGCAATTCACACATCCAAGTGAAATCACCATCTGAGAAAAAAAAGCAATGTCAAATGCAGAAAATTGCAGTAGAAAATGCATATCTATTAAAGATCGGAAGATATCACTATATTAAGTAAATGAAAGACATGATAAAAGATATCGTAACAAAGATTATCAGCTCTTAGTGACCTTATCCATAAGATGCCGGGGAAATTTTGTTGGTTTCGGAAACTTTAAGATCGGCAATGCCAGTGCAATGCCTAGAAAAGTAAACTGGCTTTCTTGCGAGCCATAGCATAACAAAAATACTACCGAAATTTAATTACACATGGCGATCTAGATAAACGGGTTGAAAAGAAAAAATATATCCTGGAAAAGTAGCCGTTCCTAAAACATATAACCAATTTCGATATTTTATTACAGCGCGTCTTTTGATCTGTGATCACTGTTCTTAGTCACTTGTAATTTAACTCTTACTGTGTCACGTGATTTTTTTCGCTCTACGTCTTGTCAATCATTTACTAATATTTCAATCACACTACGAAAATTTCATCACGTGACACTTTCTGATCATCTGCTCTTCAGCTGCAAAGTAACACACCGTAAACTAAAATTTCCAATAAAATAAGCAATAACAAGATAGTTCTTCCACCAATGAACTATCAAGAGTAACAAGACTAAATCTGTCAAACGATTGTCAGACAAACCTGATTCATTTGCCCTCGATCCAATTGATGAGTTAAGAATGGCGATCTGTTGGGTCATTTTGGCAAACTGTGTTGTGCTATTTATAATGACGTAGTGGAGGTCATCTTCGAGGTTCTTTATACGGTCTAACATGTTTTGAAGAAGAAGAGATGTGGCCTTTTTCATCTCAGCTGAAATTATGATAAACAAATCATCAATAATGCCGTTTGAAATAATGATAAACAAATCATTAAACAAATCATAAAAGTTCTCATAGCATCGATATATTTGCAATGTGCAGGGACACTGTCTCAAAACTGTCATGCAGGAACTAGACCAACTTAGGCACGCTCAAAACAACTATGACTAAGTTCGTGGTACCGTCAGCTAAAGACCCCTGCTCAGGACTCTAATGGCAGGAAAGAAGATACAATTGAGAAACAATATAAACACAAGAGTTTTGAGACAAATGTTTACAACTGACTTTGATATGGTAATTCCTTATTTCGTCTAAAACAGTGGAAAGGTACTGAAATAGTCTGAATTTTACTGACAACGATACTGAGATTCATATGAAACTTGGCAACCAGAAGTTCCATTTGGCGGCAGGTTTTTGTAGATTAAAAATTGGCATTAAACAATAATATGAAAAACCAATCATATTCATCTGTAGATGACATTATCTCTGGGTAAGGAACACAACAGACGAAAAACCAAAATCCTTAAAATTTCCACTTGACAGGAAAAAAATATTTTCATCAGAAAAATCGGCTTTTGCGGCCAAGAATTGCCGAAAAGACCGCAAAGGAGGAGCTAAAAAGCTGAGATCTCCTGTAATGAATTTAAGAAATAGTTGTCTCCTCACCAAGATACAAATCTAATCTTAATCTTAATGAAAAAGTTGAGATTTTGCAGGCGCCTCGTAACTCACATAAAATGTACTTCTACAAGAAACTACCAACCGGGCAAAAACCACATGATATTATCAGAATATTTTATTGATTGATGACGTGGGTTTTTTAAAAAGAAGATAAGCGTGGATAATGTTCGTTGAACACCTATATTTGATGGAATATGATTAACCTTGGTGTAAATGTCTTCTCAGATAAACTGGATTTCTCCTACTTAGAAGGAGCTTTACTATTAAAAAAATATGCTCAGCAAGATTCCTGTCAACTAGAGAGTATTTTACTGACGTGCACGTTCTGATCCAAAGTAAATGGGATTATCTGGGAAATGAAAGACAGCCAAAGAGTATCAAAAAGGGTCTTACCCCTGAAAAGGCGGCATCTTCTGAAATATGACGCGCATAAGTGGGTTTGGTATTTACATTAGTTGAAATACTAACAAATAATGAATTCCTGTAAAAATTGGCAAATAAAACGTCACCTGACGCACTGGAAAAACAAAAAGGTGCTTTGGGTTTTGACCGAGGCTTGCACCTTCAAGCCTAAGAACTTGAGCATTGTTCCGGTCAACGTGAATATTTTATCCGCACGTCTAATGAAGCTGTAGCTATTCTTCATACAAAATACTCTTTTGCCTTTTCAAGGCAAAGCTCATTGAAAAAACTCGCATTAAAACCTAACTCATTTTTGAAGCAATTATCCAACCAATGAAGATATTTTCTTCCGCTTTGAAGTCGTATTTTTTCGTTTTGAAACTGCATCTGTAACTAAAGCTGCAGCACATGTTCCTGTCCATTGTGAAAATGAAGGAAAATGTAATAGATCATCAGCTTTGACTGATCGTGTAAACGGGTAGGCCTATAAGACAGATGAAACTGCTGAAAAAACTCTCCGTCGAAACTGATCAGCCAAAAAAGATTGTGTATTTCAACCTTTAGAGCTATTCCATGGATCTTTTAAGTTAGGTGGTCCAGTGGTAAAGGTAGGAACATTCCTTTCTCAAAAGCTTGTGATCTGTAATTTAATTTAATCTAAGAATAAATTTATCAGCAGAAAATCATTTTAGAAAGAATATTAATCTGAAAGGAAAAGCGAGTCAGGTCAAAAATAACACCATTGCTTCGTTTCTGAAACCATACGACAAAACAGTTTGTGGGAAAAATAAGTCAGGTCGCACAGCTATCTTACTAGAAACGGGAAACCACTTTCTGTTCGTGGGTTGATCAAATAAGAATTGGCTCAGTATCAGGAATGGCATATACGTCTTCTTATGCATCGACATATTTCTAGCTGTGCTGTTGCTGGCAACATGCAAATAGATATGGTACTAAACAGGATTTTGATTTGTTTTTCATTTTGAAGTAAGACAACCTCTGCTATGAAATCCTTCCATCAAGTCAATATTCAGGGACCTGAAGACACCCAGAACTGCTGTTCTGTAGTACGTATATCCCTTAAACTGCAGTGCAAAACAAATAAAATAATTCAAAGCTTTTTAAATAGCACTTTTTTATTTGGAACGAATTCACAAGTAAAACCATAAAGCTAATAACATATTAGACAGATATCCAGTCTATTTTGAAGAGAATAACAAAATCGAGGCTAACCAAGGTGCATTCCTTTTAGCTACAATTAGCCTGAAAAAGACGGGGGTCGCAACAGAAAATCCTGGGGACCTATCGTGACAGACCTCGAGCTTTAAGTGCAATGTTCAGGTAATTCACTATTAAATACAAAACTCAAGGCCTAAGAAAGATTCAGTTAGATTATCCACCGGTCTTAGAAAGATGCCAACCATCAACAACGAAAAAGATCCGATCAGAAAAAGAGTCTTCTTATTTTGCAATATTCTATTGAGAAGAAGCGTCTTTTTGCAATAAGCTTTTCTTGATTTGTCAAACAATATATCTAAGATTAAAGTGGTGGGATGTAACTGTCAACCATTGCGTTTGATGGCATCGTCAACTTACTTCGCGCTCTTAAAACAGTAGGTAATTTGCGCTTTGGCTGATAAGCGTTTGCTGTAAAAACAAAACGGGGAAGACGAAAGAGAGGGAAAGCAAAGTTTCTCGTGAGAGGAGTACCCAAAGAGACAACATCCTGCGATGAGTATAGCATTACTACGATCCCTGCCAAAACTGCAAAATTGTTGGAACTATCTCGTCATCTTTTTCCTTAATGTCACCCCCCTCCCCCTCCCCTCTACACAAAGTGTCAACAAAGGGAGGAGGGGACAGAAATAGTGTATCAGATGTTTAGCGCAATTTTCATCTTCCGTTCCTAAATTATTCAAGGGGGAGGGGATCTGTCCACTTGAAATAGGAAAAGGAAGGGGAAAATATTTATTTAATACAAGGGCAAACTCGGTTTTCCGTACACTTCTAATGGCCATTCTTATACTGTTATATAGATGAAAAAAGATGTAGAGTCGGACTTGATAACAACATTTTAGCCTTCTTATCGCTTTGTTACTATAATTCGTGTTTTGTTGAAGAGGGTTTATCTTTGCTTGAACCTTACTAGAAAACATGTAGATTATTCACAATGATAAGCAGCAAAAGTGAATCCAAAAGTAGCAGCTTCTATTGTTTGATTGGTTCTATTGGGCTTATAAACCTGAATCTTTTTAATAAATCAGGAAAAAAGATCTTTCTGATTTCATCTCTTCTATAAAATGTTTTTTCTCGTTGATAGATAGTTTGTTTTTATCGCAAATACGAATTTCCATCCGGCTGCTGTTTATAGTCTTGTGACTCTGATAATTCGCTTTGAACTCTCGTTTTGAAGACCTATTGTGAGTATAAATAATTTTGCAAAAAGACGATTGGCTTATGAGAACACCGGCTGAACAATAAGTGATCACATGACCCTTCAGGTGCAAATGCAGTTGCCTTTATTTTCCAAATCATTCCAGAAAGTAAATATAGCCATCACGTGACTTTTCTCTACTCGGAAATGTTCATTCGCTCTTTAACAGAAAGACATCAAGGACACCAAAACGATCACCAGTAGCGGTAATAATTGTATATGGTTATTTCATTGGATGGTTAACCGCCTGCATAAGGTCAGGTCACTCTGTTCTATTTCACTGCAGTACGACTTGAATCAACTGAAAAGCAAGATGTTTCTATTCAATTGACATCAACGACGAAGTACCACACCGCATGGAAAGAAGATATGGAACCGAGCAGAACGTGCAAAGCACAAAAACCGGCTGTTGTCAATTTTCGTAACCAGTTGACAAAAACAAGAATAAATAATTCAAAATTTGAGTTTCCATTCCCTTCCACCATCTACAACTCATGATCAGTAGTGTAGCAATTGGGGGTATGGATTAATTTGTCGAGAGGTGAGGGGGCATCTCCCCTCAAAAGTAAGAAAGATGATTTGCCAAAAAAGTTGGAATTTGCCAAAAGTTGTACAGCCAATAACCGGGCTATTTAAAAAATATACAAGGGAAAACATTTTCAAAAAGGTACATTTCCCAACATTTCACGAATTTTAAAATTTCATAAGGTACTCACATGGCTCTAGACTTCGTCCTTCCAGTGGGGGTCCAATGTGATTAAAGGTGTGTTCTTTCGCTAATGCTGATATGTAATTTTTTGACAATTCAATAATCCGTTGTTTGAGAACATCGCTTTCCCTGTGTTGCGATTCTTCATAGACAACTGTTAGACGCAGAAGATACAGTCCCCATGCTAATCCAAGAAGTATCAGAAGAAATCCTAATTTATGAGATGTGGCAAGCTTGCCTGCTTTTCTACCGGCCGGATTCATGTCTAAAAAGCAAACACAAAAATACAAAATTATACAGATATGATGACAATTCGTGTAGATTACGATGCTTTTTACCATCATTTGAAGCTTTTTCTTGAAAACCCTTCTGCCCTACTTTTCATCTAAAGAGCAGGATGCTTTCTCTATCTCAGCGAGGCCAATAATGTTGCTTTGGAAAAGTAATTTAGTCTCTATAGCGAAACAGAAACAAAAACTTCACAAAACAACATTGCATGTTTGAACTACTCCGAATATATCATTGTGGAGTTCTTACGATTGGCTGAAAAACATACTCACTCGAATGTGGAATTTGTCATACAGGCATTGCCAGTTAGTTGAATACAACCTGTTTTGCTGCTCAGCTTTATGACAGGTAAAAGAAATTGATAACGCAAACGCGATTAATCAGTGGTCACATAGCAACCCGTAAAAATATATAAATACAGATATGGAAGATGTTCGCCAAAAGAGCTTATCATATGCATATGTAGCACATGAGCTCTCACTGTATCACTTCCAAAGAAACAGATGGACAACGCTTTTTAGACTTGTTTAATAATGTATGTCTTAACTAAATTCACTTTCGTATGAAATTTAGATTCACAGATGGCTTGACGCTAACGATATTTGTTTTTATCGACTTTAATGATCCAAACGAGGCCAAAAAGCACTCTTTCTACTCCAAGTTACTACACTTTTCAAGCCAGTTAAATTAAATTTCCCGATTAAAGAAACCTCTTCTATATGGCAATAAATTCGAATCAATTATCCGAATCATTTAAAGTATGGGGAGTTGTAAACATGCAGAATTTTGGTGTCATCTTTTTTCCCATTTCTCGGGTGTATTTACTTTATGCTAGGGTGTCTAGAACTGCTCATTTTCTTCACTTTTGTTGGAGAATATCCTGATCGTTTTGGTCGAAAATTTTTAAAGCTGCGATGGGTCTAGTCGCAGCGGCCGATTCGTGATTTATTGCAGCAGAATTCAATCAATAAAATGTGTCACAAATCGTCAAGTCCATCTTTTCCAACCGATTACGATGTTGTAATGGGAACAAAAATATTGCAAATTGCGTAAAACAACATATCGTCCTCTCATTAAATGAAAATACCAAATTTCCCGCGATAAACAGGTTACTCAAGTGCCTCAATAGCTGTAATAGAGTAGGCTTAATAAAATGGCTCAAAATATGCCACTTTTTTCCACCAAATACAAGGCAATTAATGATCAACTTGGTACTCCAACACCTAAGTGTGATCTTGCAAATGTTTTCTTGAACTTGTCATGTCGCGATTAACAGAACCTGTTACTAATTTTTCTGACAAACTTCTACAAGCCTCATAAAGGTTCTAAAGCCGCGAGACTGTCCAATTAAAGTCAAAAATTTTTACTTTTGAAAAAGTAAATTCTCTGAACCTTTTAGTTAAAAGTGTTGCCAACAGTTTGAAAAATGATTTGATTGGTTGTTAACTATAAAAAGACGCCTAATGGCTTCACAAAAGTGGTTTCAATATTGATCGCCTTGTTGTTTACAACGCGGTCACTTTTTTCTAATTTATAAAACTATTTATTGGACCAAAATAAGTACAAATAATGACAGAAAACTGCGAGCAATAGCTTACAACCGTTTCTTATACACGCCACACTGTGAACAGACTTGTCTAAATGCATTGAACACTTGCAGCAAATATGTAAACAGTAATCTCAACAACGCATAGAAAATGTATGACTGTTTTGCTAGGTAGACAAATGTATTGAAAACTGTTGAACATAAATTTCTGAAAGTAATTAAAGTACCTGTCACTAACCACCCTACTTCTCATTTTAGTAACTTAAGCTTGAATTATGCATATGTTTAGCAAGGATGATTTGTCCTTGTATGCCCTTGATATCAAATATGACAATTACACATTAGAAAGCACTCAATTTTACATGGTTTCGATTTAAAAAGCAAAATTTTTTGCGTTTTTCGTAGACGCATAATGTAAATAAAGGTTTAGTTGACTCCACTTAAAGTCATTTTGCTTCAAGTTTAATTACAATTTACAGTCATATACAATTGAGATCAAATAAAACAAAATTGTTTAATTAAGCTCTGTTTACAGTCACATTCCACATACTGTTGTAGTTTTTTAATCAGTACCTGATTTGACTATAACCTGATGCTACTGTACTGGGCATTGTGGCTGAAAAGGCAACTTCCCATAATCTAAGTGCTTAATTTTTACAACTGAAAACAGATCTCAGTCTAAACAGGATATATGCAAAAATTCTAACAGAAGCTACAGTTATTGAATATTGTCTGATATCTTGAAAGTATACATGTAGGCAACCCAAAGTTGAGGGAGGGGGTAGGACTGCTCATTTTCTAGCTGAAGGATAATATCAAGGTTGTAGTATCAAAGAGTATGGCAAGATTTCCAACTTGCCTGAAACTCCCCGCTCCAAAACTTGCATTGGCATCCCTCGACATGAAACTAAACCAATTCTTGGAATCGAGCAATTTGTATCTTCACATTTGGCAAAAATGGATAACAGAATTGGAACCTTCATGTTGAAATTAGTCTGTGCCAAAAATTTTAAATTGTTTAGGCCATCATCATCATCATCATCATCAGGTACCATCTTGTATCAGAAGGTTGGCTACCATGACCCTCCAACTATCCCAAAATCTGAGTTTTGGTTTGTTGTCATGGTCATAGATTTGGGCCATCAGGCTGCGAATTACCCTATTTTCAAAATTTAGCTTTTCCTATAAATTTTAATGGAGTTTGTTGCTGTAGTGAAATTTTTCACTGCAGCAGCAAGTTCCGGTCAACTCTAAAGAAATATATAAATATTCGAAACAAAGTAACATGCAACCGAACGGTCTAAACAACATTAATTTTTCAATATAAACTAATTTAAAGATGAAGATTTCAATTCTGAAGTCCATTTTTGAAAAAGATCCGTAGATAGTGAGCTGCAAAATTGATGACATCAATTTGAATCCATCAATAGAATAGATTACTTCTGAACACTTTTTCAAGCAACCTAAATCATCTCATAAATCTGATTAAAATATACAACATATGTTACTTGCACATTTTGAGGAAGTGTGAAAATTACAAAAACAGATGATTGCGTTCACAAACATGATGGCACAGGTGATGTAAAACAAATAATCTTAAGTTTATAGCAACCGAAAACTCCTGACTGTACCAATCATCACAAGCATTACTATGCAGCTTCTAGAAAACCTGCATACTTATGCATGTCCACAATTTCCTTTCTCGTTTGAAGGACCAACAATGTTAAGATTATATAAAACATTTGACTTTACCAATAATATCAAATATGACCTTCAAGAAGTAGCAATGATTTTAAATGCTAAATTCTTTGATTATTTATAATAAATTGGTATGCTTTAAAATATTGGACGTTAAACAGGGGTGTAGTGGGAACTGAATAGCAGAGAGTGTGATACGATACATTTTTTAAAAAAACTTTAGCATTAGATAAACAGTTAAGGTGTCAATACAGGTGCGCTGTTTTAGCACTTTTCAACCAGAAGATCAAGTTAAGAAGATTTTCACCAATTTTTCTAAATAAAAAGCTTTGGAATCTTAATCTATGTAGTACATGATTCTGGAACACAGAAGACAACAATGACACAGCTGAGGTAGCAATCTAGCTTTCATATTCATATCCTGAGTCTTGAAATGTTTCTTTCTGAAACAAACTAATAATTTTCTAAACCTGAGTATTTTTCATCAATCTTCAGGAAGTTCAAAATTAGTTAACAGCCTTTCAGGTCAGGCAAGTTAAATAGCCTTCTTACCCACTGGAATGCTCAGAGCCAACCTGGTCTATTTTCACATAATTAAACAACAAAGTTTACTGTTAAAGAAACTATTTATTGTCACTGTCTCTGTACATGCTACAAAATTTATAACTCTTCACAAAGTGGCTGATCAGTTTTTCCACAATCTTTTGTTGGGAAATTATGAAAAGTTGAAAGACATTATCACTTTAAAAGTAGGCCTTAATGAGATGCTAGAGGCATTAATTAGTCATTAGTGGACCCAAATAAGCTCTTAGTAGCCCTTAATTAGTTGCAAATTAGCCATATATTTTTTTCCTTTTGCCTGGACTGATAATGGTCATGTTGATAAATTCTAGCAGAGAGTTCCTAACAAAAAACATTTAAAGCAGAAATCAGATTTCTAAAAAAATACTTACCAAGATAAACATTAATTTTAATTGAAGGCAAACTGAAATTGACATACTAAATTTCTCATGGAGTTATTTGACTCATGGAAAATTTCAAAAAAGGAATCAAATGGTAGTAAACTGCTAATTCAATGAGCTGACATGGTGTAGAGCAACATAAAGTAAAATTTTCAAGAAAGCATCATTAATTTTTAACCTTTTTACACCATAAGTGGGTTTTAACTTCTTTATGAACGTGAATGCAGACTACTTTCAATGTTATTTCTTATCAAAAGAAATGTCAACATTCAAATTGTAAACCCTTAATAATTATCGCCTTTAGATGCAAGATTTTTAGGAAGGACAGTCAATTCCATGATATTGAAAACTTTCAAACATAAACCTCACAACTTCTTATCATTTCAGGATGTGGATTTTACAAATATTCAGTTTCGCAAAACCATTTGTAGCTTAGCAGTTAATCACACAATAGTTTTGGGAATTTTTTAATTTTGGCTTTTCATTTACAGAGAATAGTTCTGGTCATATACATTTTAGAGTCACAAAAATTTAACTAATCCTAATTTAACATGTTTCTGCTATGCTAGATAGGGAAAATGTTAACACCCCCCGAAACAGCAACCGCACAGAAACAAATGAAAAAATGGGTTGTTGGGCAAGTAATTGATAGCTTCAAATATAAAGTTTTGATATCTTTAGATCTTATTTGACATAAAAAAGTTAATCAAGTAGAGCTTGGACGCATGCGAATTCTCGAATGCTTAAAATCGGACGGAAATAACTCAGCCGGAATCTTAGATTTCTTCAAGCTGTAAACTATATGTTCTCTCGTCCACTTAGAGCATAATTAGTGATTGTTTCGCGTCGTTAAGGGCCTAAATTAGTATGTCACAGAAACGTTTCGAAGGAAATTTCTTTACAGAAAAGTGACAACACAAAGAAGTACGATGCACCTCAATAAACACATAAAGCAAGACAAAGGGGAGCAAATAAGATAGGCGGCAAGTTTCAGTAGTTTTTAAAGTGTTCATTTTTTTCAAAATATCACTTTTTTCCTGAAACATTATATTGCCCCATTCGATGCTGCATTTAATTAAACTGATAAAAAAGTAATGCATTGTCGCTCACCTTGAGTATCCCGGCTGCCTCAAAACAATAAATTACTTCCTATTTGAAGCCTATGGCCTATGCTCCAGCTCAAGATATTACCTACAAAGAAGAACTTTTGCCGAGTGTCTCTTCATGGCTGATTACCCCTGTCAACTGGCATTTCGTGTCATAAAGGTACAAATTGAACACATCACAAAACGATTCGTGATAACAATCGGTTCTTGCCGCTTGAGAATGGTGGCAGCGAGTATTCATCCTCGATTTCAAAACTGATTCTTGAACAGACGGGGGTCACAGTCTATTGCCAGGATTTTACTGAGGGCACAGAACAGGGTAACCAGAGAGGGAAAACAATGGGCGGCGCCAAAGGGAAAGCTTGGGGCTTTAGCCCCCTACCTTCTTTGCATAAAATGCTTTTAAGAAATGTAGAAAAGAACAAAAGATGAGTAGAGGAAAATAATAATGCAATGAATCCTTTTATCGCTTAATTTCAAAGAAATAAGCAGAAGCCTCATAAAGAAATGATTTCATTTTTGAGACTGGAATTATGTTATGCAATTAGTTTTATGTTTTATTTAGTTTTGTGATATTCAGTTGCCTGTTCTTTTGATGTTCTTGATAGTTCCGTTGTTTGTCACCTTGCCATCAATATTCCGTGTTATTGCATCATCCCATCGCCACTAATGCTGTAATCAGTCCTTTTGTTTGTTTGAAGTAATTATTTTGTTATCGTAATTAGGGTGTGTTGTCATGTGATTTTTATGCTATGCCCTTGTTTGTGAATTCAGTCGTTACGTAAAGCCGTCAAGTAAAGTCGTTTTGAATCCGTGCCGTTTTGCGATGTTGCCGTTACGTGGAATCGTTGTTTAGTAAAATTGAACCTATTATCACCGCCGTTGCTTTTGGATGTTTAATTACCGAACTGTTGATTTTTCTATATAAAACTGCTACTGCTAATTGAATTGCTGTACTTTATGTGAAGAAGAACTTCCGTAAAACTTCGTAGTTTTACAATTAATCAAATATAACAAAAGCATGCATTGAAAATAGTAAAATATTTTTGCAAGAAAATGTCTGCAAGAAATATTCTGAAATGTATTTTTAGCTGATCTGAAGGGCGTGGCCGCAAAAATTTTCTTAGACAACCTCTCGCCGGCCCTTCCAAGGTATCGCCAACATAACTGAGTACCGCATAAAATCAAAGGCACAACATACCGTGTAGCATTTTAGTGCACTTTTGAAGAGTTGATTTTTCTGTCATATAATGCCTTCAAATCGAGCCCCTCTCTTTGAATTTCTAGGCACCGCCTTTGAAAGCCATATGGAACGACGATCAGGCTTTACCAATAACCCCAAACATGACGCCTTTATAGTTTTTTGCACAACCTGGGTTTTCCAGTTAATGTTGCCTGATAGCAGAATCGCATGTTTTACTAGTTGTTTTTTATCTGCAATATCGAGGAGGCTGTTTTCTTTGGGGAAGAGTTTTGTTTCTAATCCTGGAAGAGACATGCTGTTTTATTCTATCCCCCAATTTTTGGATAGTGCGTCCTACGTAGCCAGAATCACACTGGAACGTAAATTCATAAACAACGGAACTTTTTTGTGTGGCAGGAACGCAGTATACCGTAAACCCACACTAGTGTATACCGTAAACCCACATTTTCGGGGTTATACACTCGATGAAATTCGTTTTGCCCAAAGATTGGAGGATAGAATAAAACAACATGTTCCGTCTAATATTAGAAACAAAACCCATCCGCAAAGAGAACAGCCACCTCGGTCTTGCAAATCTAAAATTACAACTAAAACTCGCGATTCTGCTATCGGGCAGTATTTACTAGAACACCCAGATTGTGCAAAAAACTACAATGGCGACATGTTTCGGGCTATTGGTAAAGCCCGATCGTCGTTCCACCTAGCAGTTTTGGAATCTATCTACATAAGCACGAAAAAACCGCTACTGTGTAGACAAAATGAGTTCGTTTTCACCTTAGGACTCCACTGGTAACATTCTCAATGATAAGCGGCACTGATTGGTCAACCTATACAGTCATGTGCTCGTGTTTTCCGATTGGCCTATTTCGATCCACAACTGGGTATATATATTTCCTAGCGTAGAGTTTTCGATCTATGTTCTGACGTTTTAAACTCTGAAGAGTGTCAGATGAAAAGCTTTAGTTTACTTAATGTTTGCTTTTTTCAAAGCCATTAATAATAATAATAATAATAATAATAATAATGGAAACTTTTCATTTTGAATTCCAGTTAAAACTACAATTACAAATCTCACTATTACAAGGTAGTTTGTAACTGGCTAGCCTGTTTTTACAAAATAAGACTATTACAATCGTAGTAAAGAGAAAGAAAAAAAACGTTAAAAGGGGTGTAGCTCTGGGTTAGTCCATGTTTTGTTCCTACAGCAAAAAATGTAATAGGTGGTACGAATGGATATCGTAGAAAGCTTAGAAATGAGATATCGTTTGTGTTGATCATCGATGGAAAGAGAGTCACACATTTCAAGGAATGAGCCGCATGAGTCGCTAAAGATGCCAAGAGAGCTGATGGAGAGATTTACAAATACGACAGATTTGAACCTTAGTCTTAGATCTGAGACAAGGCGAGCATATTTTAAACGTTTCCTTTCTGCATTGCAGTTAAGGCTAATTTCAAATCCTATAGAGAAGCTAATTAAGGCCAACTATGAAGAATTAGTATGAAATAAATATATGGTACAATGCTGGAAATGTTCACGGTATAATATTCTAAATAAAACCTAACCCAGCAATAAATATTTTACACAATCCACAGTCGCATTCTACGGGTGTGCTCTTAATTCTTTTTTAAATGTTGCCAAAGATTGGAACTCTCTTATACTGTAAGGTAGTGTTTGCCACAGTTTTTGACCTAAATATCTCACATTTTCTATACCATAAGAAGTTGTCCTGGCTTTTGGAATGCAAAGATCATTTTTAGTTCGCAAATCATAATGTAAATTTCTTGTTTAAAAAATCTCACTCATGAAACTAGGGTTCAGGTTATGTTTGGTTTTGTATATTTCTATCATCAAGTACTGTAGATTGCGTTGGTGAATCGATACTGCATTATCCAATGTCAGCAATGCTTCTTCTTAGTCAGCATGACTGTCTTTATAAACAATTCTGAGTGCTCTTTCGTGGATTTTATTCACTTTAGCATTTAGACATCTGTCATGGAACATCCAAATTGGGGGGCAGTAGCTAAACTGAGCAGCTCTCATTATTTTTTAATTTTTGCGGCTCTGGTACCCAGGGTATAGGAGAAGCAGTTTATCAGAACCCATAAATGGCGATACTCTAGCAAGGGCATGCAGTTTTTGGCTGGCTCTTTTGCATAAATTTGAGACGTGACTTTTGAAATTAAGATTTTTATCTATTATCACCCCTAGCAGTTTTTCTTCAGAGCTTTCTTCAACAATGGCCTCGCCGATTTTGACCTTAATGTCATCTTGGTTTAGTCTACCGCAAATACTTTGGGCTTCTATTATCTCAACGAAATAGACGAGAACATCAAATAACATCATAAACATGTTTTAACTACACTGCTTGTTCCACATATACTACCCTGGGTACCAGACTCACTATATATAAAATGAAATATTATTTTATATAGTGAGTCTGGTACCCAGGGTACACATACACGTACTAGGAATTCTTCCTAAGATCACTAAACCACTGTTTTGTAAGCCATCTAGATGTAGGATTGATTTGCTGGTAAAAATATTCAAAAATATATTGTTCGTTCTTCAATTTTTTTTATCTGGAGCTAACATGTTCACTGAAAAGTTATTCTTATCTTGAAAATGTTGTTTGCGACCATATCTTTGATTCCAGTATGGCGTCAATAAGTAATGCTGAAAGTGATTATAAGTTACGCAAAAAGATCAAACTATAAGGCAATATTATGAAAAGCCACGAACATGCAACAGTGAAGAGAATTTGGTCCACTCCAACTGTTTTTTTCAAACTCGATGAAAGTTTAAATCATGAAAATAAAGGTCACTGATCATTTTGAGTCTTGGAAGCATTCTGGTAATTGACCAGAAGTCGATTTACTGGAAGCATGAAAAATGCACAGTCAGCAAAATTGCGACATTCGAATTTTTCAAATCTGATGATACCATCAAAAAAGCTTGTAACGTGGACGTGACTTCCGGTCTTCTGCCAGAAGGTTCCCAAGGCTTAATGATTTAAACCTTAAAAATTTCGGTTAGGCTGGTTGGTAGATGGTTATGCAAAATTCCCAGTTTATAAAATATCTATTCTTTAGAATCACGGAGTCAATCTGCAGCATTTATTACGATTTCTTCTTGAGAACATCGTAAGAGTTTATTTCACTTAGCTTAAGCTTCACATTAACATTATTTTAGCATTATTTTTTTCTATTGAATGCACCCAAGACTGTAAGTGACTAGAAATAACAGTATGACTGTAGTATGAAAAAAATCCATTAAACAACTGAATTTACTGGTTGTCAGGAGAACCAAAGAAGATGTCCTAAAATTAAAAGTTCAAAAATCCTCTAAGTTCATTGTTTCTTCCAGGCACGTGTATAAAACTGGCCCCTTTAGGTTATACCCTCCACGCAAAAGACTTAAGACTATCAGTGTTGGTACATGTATGTTTTTCGAGTTTATTTTTTATTTGTTCCCAAAAAAAAGTTGAGCAAAACAAAGAAAAATATTTCATCCAATGTCTTTAGATTCTTCTTAAAAGTACCAAATGATTCCACAGAAATTCAAAGAAAATGAATTCTTTATTTTTACCCAAGTACGGAATTCGTTTGATTTTTTATGCACCTATTCTTTATACCTTTTCAATAATTGTAGCTGCAAAGATTGGTTTTGAAGACTCGGTCAATTTTGTATGTGAGTCGGTCCAACTTTTCGTGATACCTGAAGGCAGAATGGAACATTCGATAATTTCGAAATACTTTACTTTGTTAATTTTGAAATATGAAATAATTGCAAGATATCATCATCAAAAATGAAATAATGCCATCCCCCCTTATAGGGCCTCCTCGGTGGCATGCCTCGAGCCCCCATTTCAGCCTCTTTGCTTTGTCTGGTGCGCGGTCCCAGCTCATAGCAGCATTATTGTGAATTATTAAAGGCCAAGACAAAATTAACCTGGTCTACTTCTCCACATGGCAAAAGAGTTGTCGCGGCACGTAATATTGCCAATGCACCTATCCATCGTACCGAACCTCTTCTATGGCAAATAGAACGTAACGAATGGA